AAGTACATTTTGGGTTCAGTTTTAGCTTTTCTTTAATTTTTAAAAAAAATTATTTAAATTTTCCTTTTCTTAGAATAAAATTCAAAAAGTAGCTTCTGATTGTAATAAGACTACAGACATTGAACTTTGATTTGTTATCAAAAGGATTGATTTAAACTTGTCTAAATTAATTGTAAACAAAAATAAAAGGGGGCACCTGCTATTTCTTTAAGTGTTTTTCACTGGGGGGTGGGGAAACTTTTTTGTACATACTTAAGCAATAGGAGGGATTAGATAAGAATCAATTAGTATATCAGAGTCTTAAAAAATATACTTTGCATAAGCATAAAAAAATTCTATATCAGTCTTTTTAAAACCTTTGAATATTGCTTAATTAACTATGATTTATCCAATTTTGGAGCTTTTTACCTAATTCTGGGTAGAATCCACCCTTATGAAATTATTGACTCAATTTTGACTTAATATCACTTTATTAACATCAAAGCACAAAAACAATTCATTGTACAAATATTTTATTTATTACAGTCACCAATATATCCAAATATCATCACCGGCCCAGACGTCATTCACTCCTTTGAATTGTGCTGGTAGCAGTAAGGTGTCATCATTTGAGATGGTCACAGTATCCAATACACTGAAGTCACAGGACTCTAATTTCATACATGTTCACAGGTAGGTGTATAGTCTTTGAAATTACCACAATTGACTAATTCTGGGACAGGTAAGTATGTACATGTAAGTACAGGAATGAGAGCACCAAATCCCCGGATGCACACATGGCTTTGTTTGTTATGGAACATTAAACCGAATACTGAATGGGTAGGCGTTACGCCATTGGCTGAAATCAGGTATTTAATTGTTTTCATTTTAAAGTAAAATTAATGACCTTTGAAATAAATGATGGGATGAGGGAATATTACAGAAACTATAGAAATGCCAGGGAAGATTTTAGGAGTGGGGGTTAATTTTTTATGCCGCGTGTTATTTACTGCGAATCTCTATAAGTTGAAAATAACTGCAATTTTGACTTATAAACGCCATGGGACCATATATTTTTTTCAGTATTTTTTGTTAGGGCTTAGAACAAAGTTTGAAATGATGCTAAAGATTTATCTGAAATTGTCATAGTAAAGTACTGAGAGGGCCTAAGGTTTGTATGGAGTTCTATGGGAAAATAATTAGTGGTCTTTTCCCTATACAAGATGCTGTCTGATGGCGTAGTGTAGAATGTAGCGTAGAATGTTTTCCAAGTCGGCTTAAATGCAAAGGTTTGTTTTAAAATTTATCATAATGACTTGCAAAAATTTAATGCAGTTAAATTTATTGTATTCTTGAAAGATTGACTGTAACACAATTTTTTTTACACAATTACAAATAATCAAATTAATTTTTTTCCAACTTTTTTTCAGGGTCTCTGCCAAAATCTTTTGAGGATTTTTCCTCTGCTAGAGTAACACAATTTTTTTTACACAATTACAAATAATCAAATTAATTTTTTTCCAACTTTTTTTCAGGGTCTCTGCCAAAATCATCCATGGATGCAAATGAAACAACCCAGGACATCCCAACACATATGGATAATCAGGCCATGGCCTACAGTATGTACAAAAGTTGCCATACTTTTAAAGCAGTAACTTGCGTGCCTCCAAATGGTGCACTTACATTTTGCTCCATGCTGTACCCAGGTTCTACTTCTGATGTAGCTATTGTACGTCACAGCCAAGTTTTACGAAAGTTCAAAGCTGGAGACCTTATTTTGGTGGTCAAAGGTTTCACCATTCATGACCAGTTGCCCCAGGGTGTCTGCTTAATTATAAAAGCTCTTTTATCGACACGAGGCCAGTTTACCATACAAGAAGCAGCACTGTGTTACAAGATTGCTAAAGCACTTATTCATGTGGAAAGAGCCAACGAGAGGATAAAGAATTACGAGATTCTCCGTCACATACCATCTACTTACAGACCAATCTCAACAAAAATATTTCAACTCTGTTCTTGTCTTGTAAACTTGCAAGCTCCACTTTTGAAAGAAATTACTTAAAGATACATGTACTTATTATAAATTTGCATTGGCGTGTGACAGTATACACTAAACAGTGAAGATATTCATACCAAAGTGCAAGGGATAAGCAAATTTTGATTTGTTATCAATGTCAATGGTTATATTTGTTAACTTTGTAGTATGTTGTAATACATGTACTTCAGAAAATGAAAATCCCTTTTGTTTAGCATGGATTTATTACAAGAATGGTTGGCAATTCGATTCTTCATTTGACAATATAATTTGGAAGAGGGTTTACTTATAATTTTAAATTTCTAGTTTAAAGTATATTTACCTTTAAAGCACAACTCAACAAATTCATGTTTTCAACAATTTATCTATTAAGAAAGACAAAAATGTTACATTTTCACTTTGAGAATAACATCTTCAATTCATTAATAAAATGATTCTAAATTTTGATATTCTTTTTTTATGTAGTACATAGATTTTATTAATCATCATTGCTATTTAAAATAGTCTTATAAGCCAGAAGTTTTATGATGGATTCATTGGATTGTGACATATCATATCATACATTTATGAGACTTGGGAACATTCAACAAATTTAACACGATTACCCATTTTCCATTGTTAGAAAATTCTAGAGGTACAAAACTAAGTGTCAAGAAGTTCAAACCAGAACTCAGTTTTCCATCAGTGCTGGAATGAAAATGTTAATGTAGAAATCTATCAGCTTTGGAACATTTGCTGTCCATTCAATGTCTTTTACTATTCTAATCACAATGCAGTCTACTCTTGTCCACACAATTAAGTCGCAGAATGTTTTGTTACATATGTGTAGCTGGCCTTGAATTTGATGATAGTATGGGTGACTGGTTTTCAGGCACAGGGTATCTTGTTTAAGATCTAAAAAAAAAATCAAAAAACACTTAAGTTGTGTTATACCAGTACATATCCCCTCCTTTTTCAATATCTTCATACCATATTGAACAGCTGCACTTGTAAATTAATACATGTTTTGAAATCATTTACTCACCAAGATTTTTAATTTCAAAGTACTGGACAATACAGATTTTTATACGCCCGTCTTAAGACGGGACGTATTATGTTATAGGCTTCGTGTCCGTCCGTCTGTCCGTCTGTCTGTCTGTTAGCTTTTCGTTTCCGGCTCATAACTTTAATACTATTAGGCCTAGGATTATCAAACTTTGTCATCTGATGCATCTTGGGTAGAAGGTGTGTCGCGCACAAAAAGTAGGTCGCTCTGACCTTTAATTAAGAAGTTATAGCTAAATATGGAAAAATCCTTTCCGGCCCATAACTAGAAAACTATAAGACTTACAATCATCAAACTTGGCCAGTTTATGCATCTTAGGTAGAAGGTGTGTCGCGACCTATTTCAAGGTCACTGTGACCTTTGATTTAAATGAAATTTTTAAAAAAAATGTGTCTTTTTACTATTCATTTACACATCCCCAAATAATGTAAGAGTATTGCACTGCCCTTATTAAAAAAGTGTTAAATCAAGAAAATACTTATTTTTTTAAAGCATATACTTGACAGCAAATATTATGTATGTTAAAGAAATCCTACCTCTCCCATGAGTGTAATTATCAAGCACTGGTCAAGACTCAAGAAGAATTTTGATAACAGAAAATTGCATGTCAAATTAGAGAGAAATTAATGAGTTTTGATTGTGAGGAGTTCGCTAATAGCTAGAGCATGGTGTTATCTATATCCCTTGAGTATTGGGCAAATGTGCAAGCCTGTTGGATTTAAAATAGCTCTTGCTGGCTAGCCTAAGTTTTAAAATGAATTTAATGAAAAGCAATGAAAACTAATTTAATATTGCATAGTAGACTAATCTTATATTATATAAAATTGTTAATTTATAAAAACTAATTTTATGGGATTGGGGTGGAATCAGCATGTCCATATGAATTTTATATTAAAACCTATCGGACATTAAATGTCAACCAAAAAAAATCTTTGAGTATTTCATATGTTTTTAAAAAAGTTATGGTAGATAGTGCAGACCCATTCATCTATTGGTATTAATGAGTAGACAAGCATCCAGTTAAAGATTAATTAATGAGTTCAGGCAAGCTGTCTTAATCACTCTGATCAAGCTGTATGATGACCTTTGGGAATTAGACAGAACTGTTGGTTAGTTTATAGCATATGTCATTTGATGGCCAGTCTTTTCTTTTCAAAATTAATTTGGTATAGATTAATTTGTTAAGACTAATTTGATATTGTTTAATATGATGGGCATTTGACAAGGTCTAACACAACCAGCATAGAAATCTATCAGTGATGTAATATTTATTATAACTAATGCCTACATCACAGGGGATGGATAAATATTTTTAGGAATGGAATAATCATGGAAGTTTAGAATCAGGGTTGATGTGATTGCAAGCTTACCAGGTAGCTGTTGAAGAAAATTGTAATTTTTGACGGGCGTATCATGCTGTGGCGCGGCACTTTATTAATGTTATTTACCTATGAAAAATCCTTCAAATTTTGTGCCCCATCTGCTACTGTTGAAGACGATGCTGTATATGGACACTTCACCTGTACAATATCAGGAATGGCGTCTTTGGCTTCTGGAGTTTGATAAAATACACTGCATGTTGGTGGTCGAACAACTAAGCCATCAGGTGAAGCTCCCAACACTCCGGATTCATGCAACCATATCCTTTCCAGAAAAAATTATAATACTACTGAATGCAAACAAACCATAATACAATTGATTTTGTAATGCAAACAAAGTCTAAGTAGAGCTTTTATAATCCTTCTACTTCAAAAAGCAAAGAAGAAGTCTCAATAAGGCATTATCTGTGGTCCCCGGTTACTCGTCAAATTTTAAACTTTCATTAAAAAACTTAAAAAGTAAATTATATTATTCTCTCATGTCTGTAGTATTTGCGTCAACGTTAAAAAATGTCAAATAATTGAACTAGACAACACGCGAAGCAGTGTTTTGAAGGTGGGGTCCTTTGATTTTCATGAATAACAAAAGAAACAGGGGAAGTTTTCTTAATACCGTCGGCATTGGCGTTCAGTTAAAATACCGAATTTGTGACAGGTACCTACTTCTCGGCTTTCGTAAACATCGAGCGCAGATTTGTTCAAAGTCGAGATTGAAATATAATATGTATATCATATTTATACAGATTGTGTGAAAATATCTTTGTTGAACAACGTTGCGCTCTATGTGTTTTACTTAAAAGTATCATGATTTTGAATCTGTTTGGTGAGTACATTTACATAAGATTAACCCCTTGTTGACCTGCTAAGAATAGATAATATGTCACGTGATTCCATTCCGCCACAGGTGAATATATACCTCCGGAAAGTGTGTTTTCTCTAGGAAGCGACACATGTAGCTCGTATTTGAGAAGTGCAGTCACCAGTTTTTATTTATTAAAATTCAAAACAAGTATTTATAGACATCGAAGAATATCACTCATGTTAAATTTCAAATGATGATTTTCATGGACATATTTTTATTCTCATACATGTATTTATTTATAATTGCAGTTTTCCTGGGTATACTTAAACTTTAATTTATCACGTGACCAGAAAATGTGCAGTATAAATTATTTTCATATTTTTAGGAAGATAAGACAATTATCTACAACATATCACAATTTCATTGCGTTAAAAAATGTCAAGTAATTGAAGGTGGTTTTCCTGGGCATTCCAACAACACAATAATATACGAGTATAAATACACATTTAATCAATTTCTTGCGAAAAAGACTATTCAAAGCAACCTTACTCTTTTGTTGTCACGTTTTGGGGTGCATATAAACTCAGAAAAACTTCAAATGTATTAATGCAACTAAGTAGATGAATATTGAGTTCGAATTTCATTTACCGATATTGTGATATCTATTATTAAGAATCCTTATGAAGCATAATGATTATGTTTCTATTTTTCAACAACCGTTTTTGAAAAGATTAAACACATGTATATTACGCGATTTGTACACGCTGTGTATATGTTAAACATATCAAGTGAATCGGAATATTCATTGTGGAATTTAGAGCAAAATTAAGAAATAAAAATATACATACTAGGCATGTAGTATCAGTCGGAGGGAAGACCCCTTCTTTTCAGAGATAAATCTTGAGTTCTTCACCCCCCCCCCCCCCCCCCACCCCCCCAAAAAAAAAACTTTCTTAAGCATTAAGGCTGGTGCGATATGAATAAACATACATTGAAATTGTTTTATTTTTCAAATTAAAATGGGTAATAGTTTGATTCCTACTCCTACATAATCGATTTTTTTTTTCAAGTTTGTAAGAGCTTACCCCCTTTTTTTTTGCTTTAACAAACTTCTGTTCAGGATTATTGCTTTTTTTTCTCAGCCCCCCCCCTTTACAAAGAAGTGTATTTCTGTGTGTATTTACCGTGTACTGTGTAATTTATTATTCGATCGCTTTTACTTTTTAAACTGTCATATGGAAGAAAATTAATGGTGATTAATATATTTGATAGATGCATTTATAGATTCAAGATAAAAAAAAAGTGATTAAGGGATTTTCAGGCCAAAAATACCCCAAAGAACATGCAAAAAGAAGGCCCCTCGCCAACGCCAAATTAAGAAGAAAACGAATAGTGCAAGTAAAATTCAAGCTCATTGAATGATATTCTAACCCGGTCATTGTTAATTATTTCTTATCTCATGCTACCGCTAGCTAACCCTTCTTATAGTACCAGATTTAAATGTCTCCGCCCACGTGTATGTAATAGAGAAACCGTACTCTTATCGAAAGAAAATGTTCCGGAATTTGTATGTGCGATAGGTGTTGAAAATTGGCTTTTATTTCTTGATACTCAAAGTCATTAATAATGATTGTAAAAAATTTTTAATCAGAAATACTTTGTTATACACCATGAAAATAAAAATAATACCATATCCTCAAGTATTTTCTGTAAAATACGGGCGAAAAAAGGGACCAAGCTACTATACTTAAGTGGAAAACTCCTTTTCTGGAATATGTTGGTAACTGAATATTTATGCCCCGCCATGAATATGGCCGGGGCATATAGTGTTTGTCATGTCCGTCTTCCGTCCTTCCGTCCCACTTTGTGTTTAGCTCTGTTCAAAGCTAAGTTTCAAAGAAACTATCCAAGATATTTTCATCAAACTTCATATGCTGATAGATATTGATGAGAGCTATGCAACTGCATCAACATTTTTTGACCTTGACCTTTCCTTTGACCTTGACCTGACTTTTCTTAAATAGTGTTTAGCTCTGTTTTAAACATACCATTCAAGATGGTGTTATCAAACTTTACATGTTGATACAAACTTGCATAGATGATGCATCTAGAGATGAACACTATCGGACTTGCTTCGGATGCTGGATCTGACCTAAATTTTCCAGATGAGTGACCAAATTAAAGTTTTTGGAGCAGGTCCGTTCTTAAGAAACTATAAGCCCTACTTAGACCAAACTTGCTTGGATGATGCATCTAAGGATGGACACTACCAGACTTGCTTCGGATGCTGGATCTGACCTACATTTTCCAGATGAGTGACCAGGTTGATGTTTTTGGAGCAGATTTATTCCTAAGGAACTATCAGCCCTACTTAGACCAAACTTGCATGGATGATGCATCTAGGGATGGACACTACCAGACTTGCTGCGGATGCTGGATCTGACTCACATTTTCATTCCCAAGTAACTATAAGCCCTACCTAAACCAAACTTGCATGGATGATGCAGCTAGGGATGGACACTACCAGACTTGCTTCGGATGCTGGATCTGACCTATATTTTCATTCCCAAGTAACTATAAACCCTACCTGAACCAAACTTGCATGGATGATGCATCTAGGGATGGACACTACCAGACTTGCTTTGGATGCTGGACCTACATTTTTATTCCCAACTAACTATAAGCCCTGCCTGAACCGAACTGATCAAATTTTATACATGTACAAATTTCATGTTGCTTTACTAATATATCCTCGGCGGGGCATTCATGTCCTATGGACATATTTCTAGTTTTTTTTTTACAATTAGACTTCAGTAATTGATTTCTGTTTTTTTACCAGGATAAGTCCTGTTATTTGTTTTGACACATTGAATGTTAACATGTCAGAGGTTGAATGAATGTTATTTTGTGCTGTATACCTGACTGCTCTACAGCTGCATCAAAGTCCTTTTCATACTTTCTCAAAGCATCATCTTCATGAGTGATACCCCATGCAACAGCCTTGATGGACTCCAGATTGTAAGCCGACATCAGCTGTTTCTTCAGTGACAATGTCAATCTGGAGAAGAAAATATGATTTTTGGTTATTAATCTTATATTTCCTGCATCTTTATGTACAAATATCTAGTCATTACAGTCGAACCTCATTATCTCAAACTCAATGAGACCAAGAAAAATATTGGAAATATCCGTGGATTCAAGAATAATACATAAAGAGTTATCAAGAATAAAATGTCCCAGTCTTTTATAAATGGTTTGGACTTCAAAATTACTTTGACATATCCATGAAATATGAGATAATGGGTTTGAGATAACAAAGTTTGACTGTAATTTTAAAAGTCTATTTCGCAAAAATTTAATCACACGTCTTACCGCCTTTGCTTAGAACTGAGAACTGCACCAAAGTTGGAAGCTGATATGCTATATTTCCTTACAATCGACCACATTGGGTTGTTTCATTGCCAATGCAGCTCTTTTAATGGATTCAGGGATAATGCATGCTGTAACCATACCATAGGGGTATCAGAATGAACATACTCTGGTGATGTTAACAGGTCTTCAATGAGAGGTACAGGTGGACCAGGTTCACATGGCTCTGGTTCAAGAATCCAATTCAATGCTGAAAAATTTCATTACTTGTGTCATTCTCAAAAATATCATCCATAATATCCATATCACATATACCAAGTATTTATATAAGAGTCCATACATTTCATTTTAGTGAACACTGTCATGGGTTTTTGTAATGTATGCATTACATATCAAATTTACAACTCACTTGCATATATTTGTTCAGAATTGTTCCTGTATATAATTTTGCACGTGGCATTCTTAGTGTGAAAATGCCATGTAAAAATTGGTGCAAATGTACAATTAATATTTACTTAATTATTAACAAGGTTTCATAATGACAGAGTATTTAAATAATTGAAGAATGATCTGATAATTCGCAAGAATATGAAACAAAATATTTTTTTTAATGCAATTGAATAATTTATTTTTCCTTTCAAAAATGTATGCTCATGTACAAAAATGCTATCATATTTATAATATTGTCTTTCCAATTATTCAAAGGTTGTTATTAATATTTATTACATAGTATGTTCAAAAATTGGGCATTATACATAGCCAACTATATTATACTCCTCATCTTTGTACATTTGTTCACAATTAAAATTAACCATCGGTCAGTAACAAAATAACAGTTTCATAATACTCGTAATATAAAAATCAAATCAAACTTGAATAACAACAATAGTAACACCAAAATCATAACTTCCTTCTTATATTTTACCAATAAACCTTCCAAGGTGCAAAAAACACTAGTCACTTTCATCAGAGGGTCGGTTTAAGGCACTTCAAATATGAAGCAAATTTTTTAACAACTGATTTATTTATATTTAATGATTGATCATTTTTTTAAAAAAAAAAAAAAACAAGAGGCCCATGGGCCACATCGCTCACCTGAGCACTGTGGCTAGGAAAAAGTAAAAATTGGTTTTTTATTGAAAAGTTTAAATCCAAAAGTAGTCCCTTGACCAATCATGGCTTTGCTTTTCTTGAGAAGGTTATTTTTAAAGAATTTTCCTATATATTTCTATATAAAATTTGATCATCCTTTGTAGCCCTGTCCTACCCCCGAGGACATGATTTGAACAAACTTGAATCTACACTACCTAAGGATGCTTCCATATAAATATGATCAATCAGGGTTTTGCTGTTCTTGAGAAGAAGATTTTTAAAGATTTTTCCTTTATATTTCTATTTAAAACTTTGATCTTCCTTTGTGGCCCCGCCCTACCCCGGGGGTTATGATTTGAACAAACTTGAATCGACACTACCTGAGGATGCTTCCATATAAATAGGATCAATTATGGCTTTGTCATTCTTGAGAAGAAGATTTTTAAAGAATTTTCCTATAAATATTTTTGTTAAACTTTCGTCAGCCATTGTGGCTCCGCCCTCCCCCCGGTGGTCATGATTTGAACAAATTTAAATCTACACTACCTGAGGATGTTTCTCCATAAGTTTCATTTTTCCTGGCACAGTGGTTCTTGAGAACAAGATTTTTAAAACATACCATCAAATTTACATTCATTCCCAATTATCTCCCCTTGAATGAGGGTGTGGCCCTTTATTTGAACAAACTTGAATCCCCTTCACTCAAGGATGCTTTGTGGCAAGTTTGGTTGAAATTGGCCCATGGGTTCTAGAGAAGAAGTCGAAAATATGAAAAGTTTACAGACAGACAGATGGACAGACAGACAGACAAACAGCTAGATAGACAAAATGTGATCAGAAAAGAGCTAGAAATGAAACATTCCTCACCACAAAAGCCAGAAGAATATAGGGACCACCACCAGTAACATGTTTCTGGGAAGAACCAAACCAAGCAGAGATAAATATCAATAGTCCTGAATCTTCGAAGCAGGACCAAGTACGAGAATTGCTACAAACACTACTCCGGAGACTTACCTATTATCCTATGATGTAACATACTTTGTCCACTGCAGCTGGTTCCCTCATAAGCTGGTAGCGAAGACAGTTCAGGATGTCCTGTCAACTTTGTTCCTCAACTTCCTGTCTTGGACAGAAAAGCAATAAGTGGAAATCTTTAGTGTTGCCTAGTGACTTTGAATTAAAAAGAAAGTTGCAAGATTGTGAAGGGGGGGGGGGGGGTTCTGATGCTGTGCATTTTAATTAAATGTACGAAATCTGTATTTCACAGTTTAATGCATTCATGTATTTTGTGAATTGTCTTAGGATTCGTGTAATAATTGTTGTTGTTGTATTATTAAGCACTAAATCTATTCAACTGCATGTGTAAATGGGGAAAATGTGAATATGTAAATGATGTATAATTGCAATGTGTAAAATGTGACATTTTCTTATATGAGGGAGTCAGTGTTCATGTAATTTTTTTTTCATTAATTATTTTATTTATCTTGATAAAATTATTTCAATTAACAATATTGTTTTTCTTACCAGTCTGATGAACTCAACAAAGGTTACAGAGGTGAATGGTAGAAATATGGGTATTACAGGTGTCAAAACTCTTCATTGAAGACCAGACTGCATGCCGCACTGTAAAATCACCATTTTTGATCTTTAAAAGGGGAGGCTACTCCTGAAATCAAAGAAATTGTCATAAAAATGAGTAACCTGATTTTCTTTAGGTCTCACACAAGGAAATAATTTCACTATATGTTACTATATAGCTTTAATTAAATAAATTAATTAACTAGACTCTGATCAGCAGATAATTCATGAATGAGAAAAAAGATTAATGCTTAGACAAAATTTGAGATCAGAAAAAATATACCCCTTAAGCGGCTTTTAAGAAAGAAAATTGAGACTAAACATACCTATACCCCGAAATACACATGGGCAAACAGCCAACACACCATCGAGGAAGTTACATTGATCATGCGTACCTAAAAAAAAAGAGTTCCCTTTGATTCAGTGGCACAATTCTGCTGATATGATATTCCTAGTGCATGAGTCCAAAATTAAAACTGTAGACCTACGTAAAGTTCCTGAAAATGAAAAAAAGAAAAGAAATATTATTGTCTCTATATACATCATACATAAAACTACATTTGTTCATTTTAATTAGCTATCTCCTTGCATAAGACCTTTAAGGGTAATTTTATGCTATTTACCATGTGCACTGATTGCCATAAAACAAAAGAAAAAATACCAGCCTTACAAAGTCACTTAACCATGACCTTTGACATACCTTACTAAGAATACCCTGGACAATTTGGTTTAACTTATGACTTCTGAATTTTTAAATGCAGGTTTTGATAAATTAACCATTTAATATACTTATGAACTCATAAAACTGTTCTTTAAAACTGTATGATAAAGAGTGTAAAAACTTTGAAACATGTTTGGAAAGTATTATCACACATGTGATATTATGGGATAAATTATCACCACAGAAAGATCAAAGAAAATCACTGCAGATATGCAACAATAATTCTTATCATTGTTTATTGTATGTCAAGTCTAGAATATGATATATCATTACAAATATTATGTTTTTTAGCCGGGCACATTGCTCGTAGAGCAATGCTCAGCTATTGCGACGGTGAGCAACAGAAAATGCTGCTTCTTCACCGCCAAATTGAGTTTACGAGTAAAAGTATGGTACATGCACCAGCCGCTGTTGAGAAAACAAAATCCATTCAACACCTTAAGAAATAGTAAATTGAATATTTTTATCATAATATTACATTGTTTAATATTTTTTCCTGGCTCCTTTGACTAATATTTTACAAAGTATAATTCAACGGGTGCGAAAGGTGTTAAAAGTTAGTGTAGCGAGTATGCAAGCGGATCTAACATCTAATTTGAATTAGATTGATTCTATAAATAAAGGTTGTACTATCAGGCTAACACAAATGCAGGGAACATCATTAATAACTTAATGCAAATCTCCCCGCTGAGGACACATCAGTGCAGAGACGTTTGACCTTAATCTTGCTGCATCGGTGTTTACTTACTTCTGTTTGTATATAAAGCCGGATTACCCCGACACAATACGTGATAAATATTTTTCGCTGTTAATTTCTAGCTATATTTTATTTTATTTTTAAATCTATTTAATATATTATACATGCCATTGAGATATTTTTGTGTGTATTACATATTCTCTAAACGTCTGAACGTGATTTTAAACTGTCACCACAGTCCTTGTTCATTATCCTGTAAATGAGCCCGGCTCAATACATTTACTATAAAAATAATTGGACAAATTTGTGAATGACAATATTCAATGATGCATAGCAATTAATCTTTTCCAGACATTCCCCTTCTCCTAAAAATTTTTCGTGTTATTTATTTATTTATTGCAAAGTCGTCCCTGGACTAGGGCTACGGTCAATGCAGCTGCAATGGGCCATGCAATTTCGAACCCTGCGTGGTGAGAGTTTGTCCCGAGACACAGTTAGATTATTCTAACTAGCACCAATATAGAATAAATCATACCGATTAATCAACATCACTACAATATGAGGACGTAAAAATAGGATAAAACATCCTTTAGCTGTTTAGTCCAGCAATAAGCCACTAAATTGTTTTTGATGTACCTACCTACAAACAAATCAAATTAATGTTCTTGATTCCCACTTTTCACGTTATGACTGACTTAGTGCTCCTTGATACCAAAACAATTTTTCTATTACCTATAATTTTGACTTTAGGTTGAATTCGTCAATTTCATGCTTGCGAAGTTGTGTCAATGTGTGCATTACGACCGCTCCGGCTACTTTCGTTATTTCTAACCAATGAAAATTGTCCTTACTTTTCTGTTGCGTCATGCAATTTTATTGCACGCATCACTGAATTGTAGAACACACATCACAAGATTATCAAACAAACATCACAAGATTTCGAATATACATCACAAGATTTCGAATATACATCACAAGATTATCAAACATACATCACAAGATTTCGAATATACATCACAAGATTTCGAACATACATCACAAGATTATAGAATATACATCACAAGATTTCGAATATACATCACAAGATATTGAATATACATCACAAGATTTTGAACATACATCACAAGATTTCGAATATACATCACAAGATTATCAAACATACATCACAAGATTTCGAATATACATCACAAGATTTCGAACATACATCACAAGATTATAGAATATACATCACAAGATTTCGAATATACATCACAAGATATCGAACATACATCACAAGATTTCGAATATACATCACAAGATTATCAAACATACATCACAAGATTTCGAATATACATCACAAGATTTCGAACATACATCACAAGATTATAGAATATACATCACAAGTTTAAGAATATACATCACAAGATATTGAATATACATCACAAGATTTTGAACATACATCACAAGATTTTGAATATACATCACAAGATTTCGAACATACATCACAAGATTTTGAATATACATCACAAGATTTTGAATATACATCACAAGATTTCGAACATACATCACAAGATTTTGAATATACATCACAAGATTTTGAATATACATCACAAGATTTCGAACATACATCACAAGATTTTGAATATACATCACAAGATTATCAAATATTGCAACGTTTGACATGCCATAACTGATACTGTGTTGTGTTTGATTATTTATCCTGGGGGGCAAATGCCACATACCATATAGTGAAAATCATAATTAAAGCTTAATATTAACACCTTTATATAGAATATATTTTTCTCAATATCCCCCCCCCCAAAAAAAAATAATTTTGCACTGATGTAGAGAGGGTCCTTAATTAACTTATATAGAATAGCTAAAGCTTGAAGAATGGTGCCTACAACAAATAAAAACAGTAAAATTAGTACTTTGAACTTTCAACCCCTACTCCAAGGTCCCTTAGCTTTTGTTTACCTTTGGTGGCACCATTCTTTTTTTAAAGTCAAAAGTACAATCGATCCCCAGAACTTCTGAAATACTTAATTGAGACCCATGCTTGCTGTGGAGGATAAAAGTGACCAGGGTTAATTTACCCCATTAACTGGTCAAGGTTGGTCGTCAAAGAGCTTATGAAAGTTAAACTGTTTGTGAACTGCATTCTGATCATTCACATTGATAATGAATGAATTTAAAGCCCCTGTTTTGGTATTTAAATAGTTCAGCTTATTTATAATAGCTGAAAAAAAAAATTTAAATGCTCACGCCTGTACTTCATGGGGTTATAAGTTAAAGTCATGTGGACCATATTTGATGACTATACATCTGAAAGGAGTAAGAAAAATTTAAATAATTCAAGTGTTATTTCAGATAATGTGTCATGTTTATTTTCAAAACTCTATAGACTTCACATCCATAAAACTGAAAGAATTAACCTATCAAAATTTTGGATGTCTATGTAATTTAAATGAGCTTCAATTGCTGTCCAATGACATTTAAATTGGTCAGTTATAATGCACAATGTATCTAGAACAATGCATAGTTTGTTGACCTGAAAAAGGAAATGCCCTACTTTCTTATGGGCAGAATAGAATTTGATGATACAGCGGCATTTTCAGGTCACACGAGTCACTCAGGTACGCATGAACTATCGCTAATCATGTTTGCATGTACGTGTCTTAAACTTTTGAATATTTTTAGCTTCTTCTTTTTCTTGAAATGAAGATCTAATTTCAACCAAGTTTGGAAAATAGCCGTGTCCCCTGGAGCCTGTGGGTGGGCCTTAAAAACCATTAAAATTAGTCTATTGTTTAAAATCTTCTTTTGTACCTCTGGACATCAAACAGTCCAACTGTTAGCATCAGGATTGTAATACCAAAAAGCCGGCCTATTGAGCCCACAACCAATATTGTGATATTCATGACCCCAAGGTCAGGGCATCTTGATTTAGGGCGGGGCTCCAATGTTCATCCATATAAAGTGAAAATGCATAAATTCTTTAAACATCCTTTTCTCCCCCCCCCTCCCCTGCCTATTTAGAAAAATAACTAGATGCAAGATAAAGATGAGCAATGATGCCTCTTTCAAAATTGTGAATTTTGTGGCCCCGGAATTAGTGGGTTCTGAAGTAAGGGTGAGGTTCTAATGATCATAGAGTGAAAAATGCATAAATTTTCAAAAAAATCTTTCCCTTGTACAGTATATTGACCAGATGATTGCCATGTGTATAGTTGTGATAAGCCTCTTTCAAAATTGTGAATTAATTCATGGTCTCAGGGTCAGGGGTTCTGGAATTAGGACAGGGTTCTAATGATCTTTATGGGGATACGTAACTTCTCTTCCCCTGTATATTTTCATAAACTAAGTGTGTGGTTCTTTTAAAATTGTGAAATTTATGGTCCCACTAGAGTTTGGTGTTTTGGAGTAAGAATGGGGCTCTAATGATCATACAATGATATAAATGCATAAATTTAAAAAAAAAATATTTTCTTTTACCCTGTATTTTGTAGAGGATAAACTAAGTTCATGGTTATTATGAACAACGGTGCCCCTTTCTATTGAGAAATTTGTGTCCCCAGGAGTTCTGGAGATAGAGCCCGACTCTAAAGATCATTGAGTAAAAATGCACAAATTAGGCAGTTTCAGCTATCTTTCAAGTTGCACATATGGTAAACAAGAGGCCCAGGGGCCACATCGCTCACCTGAGCAATTGGCTAGGAAAAAGCACACATGACATCAGATCAGAACTGAAAGTTTACTGAGGGGGGGGGGGTGTCTTGAATTATAACCCCCCAGGGGGTCATGATTTGAACAAACTTGAATCTACACTACCTGAGGATGATTCCCTATAAATATCACTAAGCATGGCTTTAAAGTACTTGAAAAGAAGATTTTTAAAGGTTTCCCTAGATATTCCAATGTAAAACTTTTATCGGCCATTTGGCCCCACTCTACTGCCGGGGGGTCATGATTTGAACAAACTTGAATCTACACTACTTGGGGATGATTCCACATGAGTTTCATCTTTCCTGGTCCAGTGGTTCTTGAGAAGAGGATTTTTAAAAGATTTTTCCTATATATTCCAATGTAAAACTTTGATCGGCCATTTTGGCCCCACCCTACCCCAGGGGGTCATGCTTTGAACAATCTTGAATCTACACTACCTTAGGAAGATTCCACATGAGTTTCATCTTTCCTGGCCCAGTGGTTCTTGAGAAGAAGATTTTTAAAGATTTTTCCTATATATTCCTATGTAAAACTTTGATCGGCCATTTTGGCCCCACCCTACCCCTGGGGGTCATGATTTGAACAAACTTGAATCTACACTACCTGAGGATGATTTCATATGAGTTTCATCTTTCCTGGCCCAGTGGTTCTTGAGAAAAAGATTTGTTAAAAATGTCATTAATTTTTCTCTAATTCATAATTATCTCCCCTTGGAAAAGGGCGTGGCCCTTCATTTGAACAAACTTGAATCCCCTTTACCCAAGGATACTTTGTAGCAAGTTTGGTTGAAATTGGCCCAGTGGTTCTTGAGAAGAAGATGAAAATGTGAAAAGTTTACAACAACGACAACAACGACGACTACGACGACAACGACAACGACAGACAACAGACAAATTTTGATCAGAAAAGCTCACTTGAGCCTTTGGCTCAGGTGAGCTAAAAACATTTCAAAGAAAGATTTATAGGTACATGAAATTACAAAAAAAAAAAAAATTATAACTTATGCATACCTTTAAAATCAAATCATTAACAAGAGGATCAGTGGCCATAATGCTCACCTGAGCAACTGACTTGGTTTTAAAAAACAAAAATCAGATCAGCATTAAAAAATTTAAATATAAAAGTGGGTTCAGGGGAGGGGTATTTGAACAAACTTAAATCTATACTTCCTACAGATGTTTTTAAATTAATATGATACATAATGGCTTTGCTGTTCATAAGAAAATTTTTACTGCTATATAGCCTAGCTTAATATTCCTTTGTATATATAACTATGATCCACTTTAATGGCCCCTCTATCTCATGGATATATATTACCTTTATTGATTTTATATTGGTGATCAATCGTGGCTTTGTTGTTCTTGTAAAGAATTTTAACGATTCTCCAGGTATTCCTGCCTAAAACCTTGATCACCCACTGTGGCCCCACTCTACCCCCAGGGGTTATGATATGAACAAACCTGAAATCTACATTACCCGAGGATGCTTCCATATAAATGAACAATTACTTCTCTGCTGTTCTCGAGAAAAGAATTTTAAAGATTTTTTTCTATGTAATTCTTCTTAAAACTTTGATCACCCATTATGGCCCCACCCTTGCCCCAGGGGTCATGATTTGAACAAACTTGAATCTACACTACATGTACAAGTGGATGCATTAATATAACTGACCAATCATGGCTATGCTATTCTCGAGAAGAAAATTTCTAAAGATTTTACCTATGTATTCCTGTGTTAAAGTTTGATCCCCCCATTGTGGCCCCATCCTACCCCTGGGGGTCATGATTTGTACACTAGCAGAGGATGCTTCCATATAACTATGACCAATCATGGTATTGCTGTTCTTAAGAAGATTTTTATAAAGATTTTTATTATGTTCTCCTATGTTAAACTTTGATTCCCCACCCTACCCCCGGGGATAATGATTTGAACAAACTGAATCTACACTACAAGAGGGTGCTTCCACATGAGTTTCATCTTTGCTGGCCCTGTGGATCTTGAGATTTTTAAATATTTTTCCTATATATTCCTATGTTAAATTTTGATCCCCCACTGTGACCCCCTACCCCTGGGGGTCATGACTTAAAAAAATTGAATGCATACTACCTGAGGATGCTTTCACATGAGTTTCATCTTTCCTGGCAAAGTGGTTCTTGAGAAGATTTTTAAAAGGTGCCATTAATTTTTTACTAATTTTAATTATCTCCCCTTGGAATAGGGTGTGACCCTTCATTTAAATAAACTTGAATCCCCTTCACCCATGGATACTTTGTGGCAAGTTTGGTTGAAATTGGCCCAGTGGTTCTTGAGAAGAAGATGAAAATGTGAAAAGTTTACGAGGTCATTCCAATAAATGATAACTCATAAATCCGCACTTAGTTCGTCATTTACCTATCCTTAAAACACGACAAAGTACAAATCAATTATTAACAATTAAACTTTTTAACAATTTAATCAAAGGTATGCATACGTAATAATCCTTTTTGATTAGATCTATCTATGAAATGCTTTTTACCATATGTTCAACTTGAAAAAGTAGATGAAAGGCCTACTTTAAGGCAACACATCAATAGCTTTGATCATCTATCAGTTTATCATCCCCTTGCAAAGGAGTTGGAGGGGATATACATGTAGTAATTCATGTAACCTATCACAATAGCATGTGTGCGATTGGGGGGCGGGTGTTTAGTTTTTTCTGTGTGAAACAGAAGTGACATTATTTGCAGTGCCTTGATTTATAGATAGGCTCTTTGTGAGGGAGATCCTGTCTGACATTGCAATGCCCTTGTTTTTGTTTTATTTCAAGCTTCTCTGGATTCATAATAATCTTAATCTTATTCAGGTGACTCTTTAGGCCCTTGGGCCTCTTGCATCAAATCCCTTTCTTTAAGACAGTGTTAAATTGAATGGACACAGATTATACAACAAAAAGATTTTTTATTTCTCAGTAAAATAACAATTTCAAGTTGTTAGTTGAAAATATGATTTCAAATATTTTGTGTCAATCCTTTTCCATTTGCGAAGTATATTTAATAAATATGTAAAAGTATCTTTTAATTAAAAAAAAAAAATGAATTACAATAATGAGGTTATTTATAAATTGTATAACAAACATATATCAATCAAAACGCACAGGCCCTTATTGTTGAAAAAAAGGGGAAAAACTTAAAACTACATCAACAAATAAATAAAATTCTACTCTTTAACATACATTACCCGAATTGAACTTTTGTTTGCATTCTCGTTTAATGGAAATGTTTTAAATGTGTTTAATTATTCAAAACAGATTTCTGATGCAATACACCATAGAATAAGGAATTCTTGGTGTATCGATGAATTTTGGCAAGTAATGATAATAGAACAATTTTCTTCTGACCATGTAACAGAACATAAGCCTTGAATAACTTTTACTCTATCATTCTTCAAACATACCAGAAACCGAAAACTGTACAATTACATAGTATGAGTATATTATTTTATTATGGGATGCAAGTATTTTGTATGTTTTTTATACATGTGTATTTCCATGATTCATTTTTTTTTTAATTCTGTGGGGAATTAAGACTGATAACCAGAGATAACCAGGTGTCAGGATAGTAATGACAAGTTAACATATCACACTCCATACCTGGTTAACACTTAACCACTGCACGCTTAGGTGAGATTAAGAAAACCCTTGAGAATATTACCGTCAGGACATGACATTGATTAGATAAGTCCAGGTCAAGCCGATACCAGTTTAGTTGACCCTAGCGTGAACTGGCCCAAAATCACAGTCAAAAATAAATACACCTGTACATTGAATAAGCACTTTTAAAGGTAAAGAATTTTCACATACAGTTTGATTCTTGTGTACCCATTCAATAGGTACACTTGTAATCTTGTGTTAGAAGTATTCTAGGCCCTGTTTTACAAAAGAATTTATAATAAAGATCAAGATCTATTGCAGCAAATAATTTTCTTCTCTATTGATTTAAAAAGGTTACATAATATAACATTTTTTTTCAATTAGGATACATTTTCAGAGCATGACTTTATTAGAACATGGTTTTATACTTTACAAGATTAGATAATTTGATCAGAATTATTTGTCCATTTTAATGAGGTATTAATTCATTGTATGTTTTTTTGTTCGACATTTATCACAAAAAAAAAATATTGGTGAAAATGAAAAAATACTGCCCTACACAAGAATAAAATACGATATACAACCTCTCCACAACTTAATTTAATTGAGAATAATATCAAAGCAATATTATACGGATTTCTATTGTAGGCAATGTGATTATCAAATTAAAAAGATGAGATGCTAAAGCACAGTTTTAAAGCTAATACACAGTATTAATAATATATAATCCTTGTACCCCAAAATGTCCAATGACACTGCAAAACAATAATAGGCATTTCACTACATTCTCACTCCAAAAATAAAACCTGCATAGAACTGATTTCAATAGACCTAACGGATTACGCTGTTTGTGACGTGCTAACGCTCTGCTTGTCGTGAGGTTTAAATACTACGTCACATTGTCACCACATCAAAGGAAGTAGCCGAGATCGCTTCTCTCCCACGCTAAAGTCGGTCAGCTGCAATACACATTGCCGATTTAAACAGTTTACAAAAGGGGACAGACAGCACAAGTCTTAACAAACAGTTGGAAAATAGCATTATTTATATTATATGCATTTTTATTCAATAAAATTTGAGCGTTTCCCCCGACCTTCCCTCTTTACTATGCATAGAGAGGGGGCTCTATTTTTCAGCAGTATTTTGTACTAAATTGCAACAATCTCAGAATGCATGGTTTGGATTGTGCGCGTAACCAATAAATGCAATGATCAATGACTTATGCACTACTTGATTTTTATACATGTAAGCAAATATGAAAAAGATAAATTTTGCGAAATGAAATAATCGACCAATTTAAATATTCGTAATGGACTGAAAAAAAATCAGAAAATGCTTTCATTGATTAATTCAAGTTTTAAAGACATTTAACTATGTTGGTAATATTCAAGAAAACGAGATTGGGACTGTTTACTCCACTTCTTTTACCCAACAAACGAGCTGTATGTTGCAGCTAACCGACTTTAGCGTGGGAGAGAAGCGATCTCGGCTACTTCCTTTGATGTGGTGACAATGTGACGTAGTATTTAAACCTCTCCACAAGCATAGCATTAGCACGTCACAAACAGCGTAATCCGTTAGGTCTATTGAAATCAGTTCTATATCCAACTACTATCTACAAACTCTTAAAAAAATTGATAAAAGTATTTCTTATACAGGTTTTAGAGGACAAACAGCCCTGAAAAGTCTGTAAAATATATCTCTCTGATAAAATACAAAGAGGCATTACAAAAAACAGACACTCAAACCAATATTATTCATGATTTCAGCATGTGTAAACTGTACCTTGAGTAAAACGCCTTAAAGACCCTAATGCACTCTGTCTCTATGCACGCACTGGCAAGATGACACCCCCCTGTCAAAGCCTTGGGCAATGAATATGAAAATGCTTTAAACCTTATTGCACAAAAAATTATTTTGTGTAAAACGTATCACATGATAATCACAAAAAATACACTGTTTTTTGGAATATCATCCCTGATGTGCCTTTGGCACTATGAGTCCATAAAACCCTCTAGCACTAGACTTCCTCTACCGGTTCAGTTCTAGGCTCGGACTTGCTCCTCTTCATGCCCTTTTCACTTCCCTCCCGCGTTAGTCCTTCACCCCCGTTTTTACCCTTTTTAGAATCATGTCTTTTCTGTCCACAACACGTGTCTGTGTAGCAGTTTTTGTCTGGTCCACATTCTAGAATGCAGTCCCGCTGAGAGGTCTGTCTCTGTATTCCATTCTCAAGTGGCTTCTACAAAGCAAGGTAATATTAAGGAAATATTTCATTGTGTTAGGTGGTACTTTATAATATGAGCGATCAAACATTACCCATTTTAAAAACTCTGCAAGTACAATGATTGTCCAGTATTTAACCAACGCAGAGTGTAGTGGCATACATTTGGCCCACCAGGACCTCTCTTAGCTGAAGAACACGGCTTAATTAGGAGCTAAAATGTATTGAATTGGACAGCTTTCCTTACCTGTATAAACTCTGGTTGGATTGTAGTGGAATGGATTCCTTCATTATGGAAAATCTCCTTGACGGTCTCTGATATAGTGATGTAATCATGTAGATTTTTACACGTTATATGAGCTGATGCTATGATCCTACTGCCTGCTAATTGCCATATATGGAGTTCATGAACAGCTAGTACCCCTTCTACCTGTTTAAATATTGAAACATACATAGTTGAACTTTGATATTTCAAACATGAATATCTAGAATACTGTGGATATCTTCAAGTCAGTTTGAAGTCCCAACTTTTTCTGTTTATTTTACCCTCAGAATCAGCATCTCTTATGCCTGGATATCTCTGTTTTCTTGGTCCCACTGAGTTTGAGATGATGAGATTTGACTGTGCATGTACAACCAAAGCATATATTTAAATGTTTAGATAGATAAGATGCAATTCTTTTTGAGATTCCCTTGAAAGAAATTCAAAGTTCACAGTCCTCATGAACTTCTGAATCAAACATTGATAAGTAATGTTCAATCAAGCTAACTTATAAATTAATGTTTGTTTGCCCTCTCCTGAATCAGGATGGAAAAAAATTGTGTCGGCAGGTACATGTACAAAGTACTAGTACATGTATGTGGGAAAATTTTTCCCGCAGAAAATTTCAACATCAATGCTTAATTTTCAAAATTTATTTTCTGGACTGCATAAAAAGAAAATAGTTTCCTGGAGGTTAAAAGGGTTTTGAGTTTTTAACTGTCAGATTAGAGAGGGCAACCAACCAAATTTTAAAAGACGACCTCGGAGTGTAGACTATAGGCTTAAATGATGGAAATAAACTCTGGATAGTTTTGTTCAGTTTCTCACCTTTGATAATTTTTCTTTGATTCCATCGAGACTAATATGAGATGGAACAGTCTGTAGCAGAATAAAACCCGATTCTTTCACTAAAAAATAAAAAAAAAGATTAAAAAAAGTCAACTTGATTTTGCTCTCTTTGCCATGCAGAAATAACTTTCTAGCAAAATGTATTCCATCAGTTTGTATATTATATACTTACAAAGAGGAGCAGTTGTTCCTAGAATAATCATGACCATCATTATGCTGTAAAAGAGGAATAAATTAGGCCTTAGTATTGCAAGCTACTTAACAATATGATACATATCATGACATGGTCATGCGATGGTGATATGATTTGCTTATCGTGATGATACAATATGCATACTGTGAAACCTTGCAATCAATACAATCGATGTATCACTGTATTGTTACACCTCTAGAATAAAATATATGTAATTCAAACAATTCAACTTAAGACAATGAACAAGAGGCCCATGGGCCACATCGCTCACCTGAGAAGCTTTGACCATTCTGTTCTTTACCAGATTTCCCCCTTGTTATACATAATGCATCCCCATTCTACCCCACTGATCATAATTTAGACATTTTGAAATCTACACTACCCCATGAACTTTCCATGGGCACATATGTTTCAGCTTTTTTGGCCCAGTGGTTCCTGAGAAGAAGATTTTCAAAGATTTTTCCTATATATTTCTATGTAAAACTTTGATTCCCTATAATGGCCCCACCCTTCCCCCGGGGGTCATGATTCCTACAATTTAGAATTTACACTCCCCCAAAATGATTCCACATAAGCTTCACTTTTTCTGGCCCAGTGGTTTTTGAGAAGAAGATTTTCAAAGATTTTTCCTATATATTTCTATACAAAACTTTTGATTCCCCATTGTGGCCTCGCACTTCCCCCGGGGGTCATGATGTGAACAATTTAGAATCTACACTATACCATGATGCTTCCACATAAGTTTCAGCTTTTCTGCCCCAGTGGTTCTTGAGAAGAAGATTTTCAAATATTTTTCCTATATCTTTCTATGTAAAACTTTGATACCCTATAATGGCCCCATCCTTCCCCCGGGGGGTCATGATTCCTACAATTTAGAATCTACACTATACCAGGATGCTTCCATATAAATTTCAGCTCTTCTGGCCCAGTGGTTCTTGAGAAGAAGATTTTCAAAGATTTTTCCTATATATTTCTATACAAAACTTTTGATTCCCCATTGTGGCCCGGCACTTCCCCCGGGGGTCATGATGTGAACAATTTAGAATCTACACTATACCATGATGCTTCCACATAAGTTTCAGCTTTTCTGCCCCAGTGGTTCTTGAGAAGAAGATTTTCAAATATTTTTCCTATATCTTTCTATGTAAAACTTTGATACCCTATAATGGCCCCACCCTTCCCCCGGGGGGTCATGATTCCTACAATTTAGAATCTACACTATACCAGGATGCTTCCATATAAATTTCAGCTCTTCTGGCCCAGTGGTTCTTGAGAAGAAGATTTTCAAAGATTTTTCCTCCATATTTCTATGTCAAACTTTTATTCCCCATTGTGGCCCCGCACTACCCCCCCCCCCCGGTGTCATGATTTGAACAATTTAGAATCTACACTATATCATGATGCTTCCACATAAAGCTTTTCTGGCCCAGTGGTTCTTGAGAAGAAGATTTTCAAATATTTTTCCTATATATTTCTATGTAAAACTTTGATTCCCCATTGTGGCCCCGCCCTTCCCCTGGGGGTCATGATTTGAACAATTTAGAATCTACATTATACCAGGATGCTTCCACATAAGTTTCAGCTCTTCTGGCCCAGTGGTTATTGAGAAGAAGATTTTCAAAGATTTTTCCTATATATTTCTAAGTTTTTCTTTTATCCTCCATTGTGGCCCCGCCCTTCCCCCGGGGGTCATGATGTGAACAATTTAGAATCTACACTATACCAGGATGCTTCCACATAAGTTTCAGCTTTTCTGGCCCAGTGGTTCTTGAGAAGAAGATTTTCAAAGATTTTTCCTATTTATTTCTATATAAAACTTTGATTCCCCATTGTGGCCCCGCCCTTCCCCCGGGGGTCATGATTTGAACAATTTAGAATCTACACTACCCAAGGATGCTTCCACATAAGTTTCAGCTTTACTGGCCCAGTGGTTCTTGAGAAGAAGATTTTTTAATGACTCAACCCTATTTTTGTCTTTTCTTGATTATCTCCCCTTGCGAGGGGATATGTCCCTTCATTTTAACAATTTAGATTCCCCTTCACCCAAGGATGCTTTGTACCAAGTTTGGTCAAAATTGGCCCAGTGGTTCTTGAGAAGAAGTCGAAAATGTGAAAAGTTTACAGACGGACAGACAGACAGACAGACAGACGGACAGACAGACGGACGGACGACGGACAAAATGTGATCAGAAAAGCTCACTTGAGCCTTCGGCTCAGGTGAGCTAAAACTCTCCTGATCAAACATGTTAAATGGGTCTGAACATGTGAACATCATATTACCTTGGAAAGTTATTGTGACAGTCATGAAAAATATATGTACATTATTTGGTATTAACTGTAATAGTTCATCCCAAATAATGAACATACATTTTTCATGACAATAACTCTCCAAACTTTAAACATTATTATCTACATTTCCAGTGTCTTTGTCCGAGATAAAATTACAAATAGGTAATGTACTTTATTTCTCCATCAATGTACTGATTCATCAATAGGCGAGGTTAAAAAAAAAAAAGTGCAGGGTGGGACAAATAGCTAGACAGAAGCAAGGCTTGTAGCATGTGGATTGGCGGAATCCAGAGCATGTAAATATAAGGAATACCGGAAATCTGGAAATTTTTACGTCGATTTTATTTTGCGAATTCGGGTCAAAATGCTGTTGATTAATTTTTACGTTTCAAAATTTTGCGAATGACCACTGTTTTGATTACTTTTTCATATTGATAATTTATTTTTAAGAAAAATATTTTTGCAAATGCAATGAACTCGCAAATTTGCTAAAAATTTATCTACAGCAAAAATTTCCAAATTTACGGTAACTGTCTTATTTTTCGATTTCAAGACGATGATCAATCGATTGGCTTGCATGATAATTTCGGCATTTATGCAAATTATCACGCAAGCCAATCGATTGATCACTTCATGAAATAGAAAAATAAGACAATTATTCCTTAATTAAATGAAGCACTTTTAAGATTTCTCCCTCAGTAGCAATAGATTACCTCATGGCAGGGTCTACGTAGAACCTCCAGTCTCCCTCACACAACCAGATGATGAGGGCGCTGATTATGACAATGACGGAGCCCAAGGCATCCCCCAAGACATGTAGAAATACCCCCCTCATGTTCAGCTGGGAACTAGAGGCTATACAAAGGAAACAAGAAATCAGCATATTGAGTCAAACAAAATCATAACCTTGCTTATATCAAGGTATAACTCTATAAAAATGATTGCCACTAGAATGAAAATCTAGCAGTCAATTGAGAATTATTCTAGCATAATAATGTATATGTAAATGGGTCGATTGATTATAAAGATTTCCTTATTTAAAATAAAACACTTATGCCCCCCTCCCCCCAAATTGGATTTTTCCTAAGTCCAAAAGTGCATAACTCTGTCTAAAATGGTGCAATCGTACCCAAAACAAAACTTGACTTAGATATTCAGCTGAAAAATCTGTATACTAAATTTTATTTCATTATGTGCAACCTCTGCAAAGAAAATGAACGGAAACTGCAAATAATTGGAATTTTTCTAAGTCAAAGGGGCATAACTCTGACAAAAAGGTTGTGATCGAACCCAAAACAGAACTTGTCCTAGATATTCAGCTGAAACATCCGTATACTAAATTTCATTTCAATATGTGCAACCTCTGCAAAGAAAAATGGAAACGGCAAATAAGTGGAATTTTTATAAGTCCAAGGGGCATAACTCTATCAAAAAAGGTGCGATCAAACCCAAAACAGAACTCGACCTAGATATTCAGCTGAAACATCTGTATACTAAATTTCATTTCAATATGTGCAACCTCTGCAAAGAAAATGAACGGAAACTGCAAATAAATGGAATTTTTCTAAGTCCAAGGGGCATAACTCTGTCAAAAATGGTGTGATCGTACCCAAAACAGATCTTGGCCTAGATATTTACCTGATAAACCTGTATACCAAATTTCATTTCAGTATATGCAGCGGTTGTAAAGAAAATGAACGGAAACTAAATGGACCGACAGACCGACCGACCGACAGACCGACGGACAGCAGCAAAGCAATATGCCCTTCCTTCTTCGAAGGGGGGCATAAAAAGAAATGAATAAATAAGTGCATATTTCTAAATATAAATATCATTGATTATTATAGGTATCAAAATACAGCATTCAGTGCAATTAATTAAACACAACAAATTATATTCTTTATATTTTGAACTTAACTGTTATGGCGTTTTCCAGTTAAAATATGTGTACACATGGCCCAGTGTCAAAAATAATTTGTAATAAAGACAGTTGTTAAAAAGAAGTGCTAGTACATGTACTTAGAATTTAACTGAGATTTAAATGTTAAACAGGATCCTGTAAAAAGAAAAACAATAGGCCCATGGGCCACATCGCTCACCTGAGAAGCTTTGACCATTCTGTTCTTTACCAGATTTCACCCTTGTTATACATAATGCATCCCCACCCTACCACACTGATCATAATTTAGACATTTTGAAATCTACACTACCCCATGATCCTTCCATGGGCACATATGTTTCAGCTTTTTTGGCCCAGTGGTTCCTGAAAGAAGATTTTCAAAGATTTTTCCTATATATTTCTATGTAAAACTTTGAATGGCCCCGCCCTTCCCCCGGGGGTCATGAACAATTTAGAATTTACACTTGCTTCCACATAAGCTTCACTTTTTCTGGCCAAGTGGTTCTTGAGAAGAAAATTTTCAAAGATATTTCCTATATATTTCTATATAAAAAATTGTGGCCCCGCCCTTCCCCCGGGTGTCATTATTTGAACAATTTAGAATCTACATTATACCAGGATGCTTCCACATAAGTTTTAGCTTTTCTGACCCAGTGGTTCTTGAGAAGAAGATTTTCAAGGATTTTTCCTATATATTTCTATGTAAAACTTTGATACCCCATTGTGGCCCCGCCCTTCCCCCGGGGGTCATGATGTGAACAATTTAGAATCTACACTATACCAGGATGCTTCCACATAAGTTTCAGCTTTTCTGACCCAGTGGTTCTTGAGAAGAAGATTTTCAAAGATTTTTCCTATATATTTCTATATAAAACTTTGATTCCCCATTGTGGCCCCACCCATCCCCCGGGGTCATTATTTGAACAATTTAGAATTTACATTATACCAGGATGCTTCCACATAAGTTTCAGCTTTTCTGGCCCATGAGAAGAAGATTTTCAAAGATTTTTCCTATATATTTCTATGTAAAACTTTGATTCCCCATTGTGGCCCCGCCCTTCCCCCGGGGGTCATGATTTGAACAATTTAGAATCTACACTACCCCAGGACGCTTCCATATAAGTTTCAGCTTTTCTGGCCCAGTGGTTCTTCAGAAGAAGATTTTCAAAGATTTTTCCTATATATTTCTATATAAAACTTTGATTCCCCATTGTGGCCCCACCCATCCCCCGGGGTCATTATTTAAACAATTTAGAATCTACATTATACCAGGATGCTTCCACATAAGTTTCAGCTTTTCTGGCCCAGTGGTTCTTGAGAAGAAGATTTTCAAAGATTTTTCCTATATATTTCTATATAAAAATTTGTTTCCCCATTGTGGCCCCGCCCTTCCCCCGGGGGTCATGATTTGAACAATTTAGAATCTACACTATACCAGGATGCTTCCACATAAGTTTCAGCTTTTCTGGCCCAGTGGTTCTTGAGAAGAAGATTTTCAAAGATTTTTCCTATATATTTCTATATAAAACTTTGATTCCCCATTGTGGCCCCGCCCTTCCCCCAGGGGTCATGATTTGAACAATTTAGAATCTACACTACCCCATGCTTCCACAAAGTTTCAGCTTTATTGGCCTAGTGGTTCTTGAGAAGAAGATTTTTTAATGACCCAACCCTATTTTTGCCTTTTCTTGATTATCTCCCCTTGTGAGGGGACTTGGCCCTTCATTTTAATAATTTAAATTCCCCTTTACCCAAGGATGCTTTTTACCAAGTTTGATCAAAATTGGCTCAATGTTCTTGAGAAGAAGTCGAAAATGTGAAAAGTTTACAGACGGACGGACGACGGACAAAATGTGATCAGAAAAGCTCACTTGAGCCTTCGGCTCAGGTGAGCTAAAAAAGTGTTTTAGCACATCTGACTACCGGTTGAATTGATATGGTTAAAAATAAAGAGAAGGAACTAATATTGACTAGCTAAGAACTCAAAAAAAAAAAAAAAAAAAAAAAAAAATTTATTATTTTTCTAATTGGCAAGCTATGGTACGGTATAGATATATAAATATTTATATGGATAAAATATATTTAAGAAATGAATTTAATTTTTGAAGATTCATGAGGGTTAAGAACTACGATGCTTCACGCCAGCATATTTCATGAAGCTGCTTCATGATAAATATGCCAGTGTACATGGTGTAGAATCATTGTAGTTCATGTACCTGATGAATCTCCACAAATTAAATTTGTGTGTTATATTTACATTATTTTTCTGATGAGTTGCCATAAATTTACACCATTCAACTGCCATTTTTATAGCAAAACAGTTTGTACTATAGTTTCGACGTCAAGTGCGGTACATGTATTATGACGTAACAATGGAGATATTCATGCTCATCCATGGTAGTTCATGAGAAAATGAACAGTCTTCCTATTTGCAAAGAATCTTATGGAAAATAATTTGGAAATGTAAATACATGTATATCATTAATGAACCCTATGGATGGGTGTGCATATTGTTCTACTGAACCTCAGGAACATGTGAAAACTTTTAGTATTGTATTGTGGATCATGTGGAGATTTGGTTATGTTTATTGTAATACAAAAAAAGGTTTTAAAAACCAGACCTTATATAAATGGAATTAAACAATTTGTCACAAGCTCTTCAACACATGTTCAATATAAAAATAAACAATTCCAGTATATCCACACACACTTCATGATATTACAGTGTAAGAAATTTAAAGCACAATAACAAAGCACCAGTATAACAAATCTGTTTATTTTAATTCTGTCATGGTTCAATGCTTATCACTGTTACAGTAACAATTTAGGTCAAGAAAGCATGTTAAGAAAAATTCTAGCTTGATATTACAATGACCAAAAATTTTGTTTTTTTCATCAGGCATACCCGGTAATTTTCTGCATTAATAAAACTGTGTGCTGTGTTAAAGTACTGTCTGTCCCATGAGCCATAAGTGTGTAAATTTGTAAAAAAAAAAATATTTTTAAGTGAAACCTTTCTTGTACTGCTTTAAAACAATTGAGGAAAACTTTATGATTTGAACCAAAATTTTGGTCTAACCCAAATACTATGAAGTTTTGTAAACTGAAGACTTTGTGAAGTGTCTAAAAGATGTTGATACATGTACTTTGAAATAAAAAAAAAATGTGTTTATTACTAAAAATAAAAAGTAATGGTAAGGTCAGTTCTCCTGCTTCCCAGACTTCCATCATATGAATATATGTTTTTATATGTTTTTGTACCTCATGTACCATTCTCATGGCTGTGAGAGAATAAATTAATCTGAACTGTGTAAAGTACCGGTACATCATTTCACCATCCAAACTCATGACAAACTCACAAAAGAAATTAATAATTCTCTCCAGATAAATGAGGGTAAGTACTGTACATTGATATATTTGCAGAAAGAAGACTATCTACGCCCCTTATTGTCTAAATCTAAATTAGAGATCTCATCAAGAACTGAGACAGACTATTGAGATGAGGGGTGAGTGCTGGCAGTGTGCTAGGAATAAAGTGAAAGTAGATCTTACACATTCTCTTCTTCAACTCAATATCTGTAGAAACATCACTTTGCTGTTTATAATTTGTTAAATTCCCCCCTCTTTTTTGTATATTAGAGCAAAATAATTTTCATCTTTCCTGATATATCTTTTGAAAACAATGCAAAATTTTAAATGGTACAATCCAACTTTCTGACTTTTTAAAATAGTGCACACTTTTTATATGGTATCGACTAACTTTCCAAATTTTTTGAAATTGTGGACTCTTACTTGGTACCAAGTTATCTTCTGAATTTTTATTAAAAAGTTTGAATTTTTATATGGTACTAACCAACTTTTGGGTTATCTAGTTCCAATTTGACTGTTCCATTGGTGGTTGTCCTCTCGACCAATTCCTTGCTTTCTTCATGATCACTATGGTCCAATTTCTCAGCCTCACCCCCATGACTGTGGCCATGACCTTTCCCATGGCTGTGACCATGACCTCCTCCTCCTCCTCCATGACTGTGACCTTAGGAAGTTAATTTTTCAGATGTATTTGAATTTCAGAATAATGAAGTTATGAAAAATATTATGCTTCAATCTTTAAATATATATTTTTTTTGAGTGGAAATTAAAAAGAAAGGATAATTAAAGCAATCTTTAAATGATAAATACATGTACAAATGACAATCCCCCCTTTTCCATTGTTGAAAATCCTTCACTAAAATCATTTGTCTACTTGTCTTCAAAGAGAATGCACTTCAGATATATATCTTCCATGCATAGTTGAAAGGACCTGTGGAAATGAGTTTGATCATTTGCTTTTAAGGCACAAATGAAAATTGAACAAAGTAACCTACCATCATGAATATTTCATGAGTTCTAACAATTACTGCAAGAGCACAATCACTATAACATTTAACCTCAGACACATGTCAGATAGATAATTTCACTGTTATCTAATCAACATTCGTCCACTACAGTAAGGTCACTGGAGTATGAAAAAGTCACAGTGTGGCTGGAACCTACTGAATGGGTGTTTATCATTATCGTTAGGCCTATTTGTTAAAGATTTTCATTACCCCTACATGCACATTACTGCTACAAAAAAGGATACATTAACACTACATTGCCTTTTTTGTTAGCCAGTGTGTTATGCTTGTACAGTAAAAATGCTATTAATTAATTATTCAAGTAATGATTAAATCATATAGACCTTTTCAGTAAATAAAACAGTTTAAATAGTTGTCTGATCTGGCAAATTTTGACAGAATTGGTGACATCTGAATTAGATAAGTATACTGTATTTTGTCCCCTTACCATGATCATGAAAGAGACACAATCCAATGATATTGACAGCAAGTCCCGCCCCGCCCACAATGAGGAGGAGCTTAGGATTGTTCACTTCCTCAAATTCGACCAATCGCTTCAGAGCTTCCACCAAGATGGAAAAACAAAGAGCCACTAGGAAGACAGCATTCACTAAGGCACCAAGAACTTCCGCTCGAATCCAACCAAAGGTATTTTTCTCTGTTTGCCATTTTGAAATCTGTCACAGTGTTTGACAAACCAGAAATTTGTTTATATATTTGAAATCTGTCATCACAATAGTTAGAAAATTGGAATTGATATTTTAAAAAAAATATATATGTTCTTAGAATTGTTGCAAAACTAAACTTCAAACTCTTGAAATATTTACTTTAAATGTACTAGTTTGCTACACCTGTTAGAAAATGTAATGCCTAAACTTAATTTCTTCTCATAATACTAAAAAATAATACAGATAGCTATACGGGACATAAATATACTGACCCTAACTGAGGCAAAGCCTACAATGAGTGCCACCACGTCAGACAGCATGTGAAAGGAGTCGGCTACCAGAGCGATGGAGTTAGTGATGTAGCCCACGATGATCTCCACCAGGAAGAATGAGGCCGTCATGGACAGCATGGTCAGCAGACGACACGTTTTCCCTGAGTATCTGGCCATACTGTGATCAAATATTACACAAAAGGTTCAGCACACGTCCAACGATCAACCCCTGGAATGACAAAATGAAATTCATTAGAACTTCCCATAGCATTATAATTTTATTTCAATAGCACAAATGTCACTGACCTTAAAGTACCATAGACATGATAGATGTATATATATTATTATATACTTTTATTTCATTTAATATCATGCAAACTTGTACATGAACAAGAATTACATTTTTACAATGAATTATTGCTATCATTGTGCACATACTATTCGTACATGTATATATATTGTGATGCTCAATCATTTAGACTGTTGAACTGACCTTAGACATTAAATGAGTAGCCCTGGGTAATCTAAATAGCAGCTGGTATTTTATATTGCTTCATTTAGTATCAACATTTATAGCTTAAACAGAGTATCAAAATTCACTTTACGAAATTAAAAGAGAATAAAAATGGGTTCAATGTGGTCTTTGCAGGCTGTAGCATCATTTTTCAAAAGTGTAGTGGACCAAAAAAAGTGGGCTGTTAATGGGAGTCCAGATAGCTAGGGGTCTGGGGAGATATTGTCCAGAGATTCAATGTAGTTACAGTAAAGCATCGATTGTATAAAATTGTAAGGGTCCAGAAATGCTCAACATATGATATCATCAGGTATACATGTATCTCATGATATGGTACAATAAAATTTTCATTGTGCACTTCTTGTAAAATCCTTGTTCCACCTAAAAAATTATAACATTCAAATGCCCCCCCCCCCCAAATATTTACAGTTTGGTAAACAGATGTTGACATGTTCATGATGTTATCTACATTCTATTACCTTGGAAATAAAGAACACAATATGTAATTCAGTTCATTTATCCCCTCCCCTGTATTCAAAAGATACAAATGAAAAGCTAACTTTATAAGTTAACAGTAAACAGTTCTTCCACAGTATTTGTTACAGCACGACTCTTAATTTATTCCTTATATAAATTAATTAATCTTTATTCATATTCCATTTCCAATATTTAAAAAATATCAAATATTAAATACTGATTTTAATTAACACTTTTATATATCATGAATTAAGTAAACAATCAACACTTACTAGTTTCAGCAGGTATGTTAAATAATTGTTAATGTTTATCTCAGATTTGTTTGTCAAGTGAAATTAATTAATATTCATGCCAGTTTATCTGTTTTTTTGTTTTATTTTATTTTTCCACACGAATTAAACACCCCCTGGGCTTTGATCACAAGGCTTGGAAACCCCATGAATAAATGAATTAAGATTTCACCTACATGTATTTTGGTCTGTGTGCAACTTTTTAAAAAAAAACCCATGACACACATGTGACTGAAACCCAAGGGCCATGATCTGAGTGTCTGCACTTACATGTAGAGTATTACCAAGATTATGTGGGGAATTACTTAACTATCTGATGCATATGTACTCTAAATATCATCTTAAAAAATTAATCATAAAACTTAAAGTGTCTTTCAATTATACTGCATCATAATTATGTAGGAACGATTTATCAAACCCACTCCTTTAAATTTTGCACAATTAAGGTTGGCAAGAGATTCTTTTCTTTTACTTGCTGTGAATGTTGATAAACCATGCAAGCAGTATTTTCAATTGGATGCAAATGAGAAAAGAATAACAAGAAATATTTTCTTGAACCTGTCAAACATTATGAATTGTCATTTGAACATCTTCAATTTAACAATATACACTTTCAACATGTCCATTCCCTTTCTTACATGTAGCTATCCACCTAACTCCCTATACTTCTTTAAGAAAACAAATATTCAGTCAGAAGATTGGAGCAAAAAAAAATCATCCAATTTATACTAAAAAAAAAACCACAAAACATTCTCCCTCTCTCTTTATGTCAGTTTCTGTATAGAATATTTCACCTCAGGTTTCATGCTCTGTAAATTTCTGTGAACTCTATGACTTCTAATATTTCAAAAAAGAAGACCTGCTGACCATGAGTAAACAATGTTCAATAGAAAACTAGTTTGCCGGTTTCACTGTCCTTTATTCTTACCTCGGAAAGGAAGGACACACGAATATTATTTTCCTTCCTTTCCAAATTATGAAAGGTCATGAACTGGGAATCTTAATTTTGGAAACAATTTCTTCATTAAATAAGCATTTTCAAGCCTACCCTTCATCCCACTGGCATAAAAAACAATCACATAGCCATTAAAACTGGTTAAATGCTGTACTGTACTGAATGTACATGCATGTTGTATGAGGGTATATAAGTTTATTAAGTAATACTGCATTCATGAAAGTTGAAAATAATGCTTCAATATCTTGAATTATTCAACCTGAAAAAGATGGGGAGGATTTGGGACTGTACACTTTCATAAAAATTGCTATAGATTTACTGTCTTTACAGGTATGATTTGATAATTTTTATGCAGTTGCAACATTGACTTAGAAGGCCATGCCTTTGATTTAAAAATAAAAACACAAGCCTGAATGATAGTAAAAAAAGATTTAAAAAATAAAATGCACCCTTGAAAATAAAATTTAACTTAAGTGACAATAAAGGAGAAAAAAAGCTAAGACAACTGAAATTTTTTTTTCACCTATTCAGTTACATGTTGTCAATGATTATTTCATTTGCATGCTTAATAGTAAATGGTAAAGTGCTGATGAACATGATGAAGCAGCTATCATTTCATAATCTTGGACAAACACATCTTCATCTTTGTCCAATGGTTCATTAATTTAGGACCGAGATATTTTAGCCTGTTATTGGGTCTAGGTGTGACTGTCTATGGTCCAAACTGTCAATAGGTCTAGACAACTGTGGGGACGAGATGCTTGACAGTGACACAAATGAATTTACAAATGTAAATATGACATTTAACACACAAAAAATTATGTTGTGAATAGAAACAAATTTCGCCTAGGGCTGCTTATGTACCTAAAATTTCTATAAATATCACCTATTATAAGTCTCTCATAATTTCTGATGATAACAAGCAATTATTTAAGGAATTTTATGAATAAATTAAGAAAGTTAAAAACAGACATACTTACCAAGCCTTGCTGATCCAAGTTTCAAAATAAATCTGAAATGTCAAGAGTAGTAAAAACCTTATATAAATTGACTTTTAATTATTTGCACACAACACCTTTTGTGTGTCGCAGGATACTAGAAACATCGAATAGAAATATTTAATATGCACGCGGCACTCTAAAACATGTTAAATTCATATAGGACTGTGTGCAAACACATCGATAAAACGTGTACTCCTCCTCCAAAAGATGACAAAAAATCTAGATCTACATAACAAGCTGATGACACTTGTGATAAACACTAAGATTTTTAAATTCTAAGGAAACCGGCGTTTGTACCTGGTGTCATGCTGTATTACTCTGGCGCACTACGTTGACATAGAGAAATCAGTTGAAGTAAAGGTGAAGGTCGTATATTTTTAATTAAGTTTCAACTTCTTAGCGCAGGATTTTGACCAAAAAAACTAAGTCATGTTAGTATATATTGGCTCAAGGAACACATATGCAAATTTCAAATCATTTAGTTGCGTTGAAAAACGTAATAATATCAATAGAAAAATGCATGCACGATGCAAATGGTCGACTCACCAGTATCAGCAACTCAATCGTGTAATGTTTCGATTTTAATGTAGGAAGCATTGTATAGAAATATGTACCATTTTTAATTAGATTTTTAAATTAAATTTGTCAGTTCTAAAATTTTCTTATGCTACAATTATTTATCACGAACAAAACATGGCAATATTTATTCAGATTCTTCTAAGAAGAAACGATGGTTGTGTTACCTAATGACATCGACAAATTGGCGGGAATTTACCTTTCTTCTCGAAGAAAGGTAAGTCCTAGTTGGGAGGTGTGTATATCCTCACCCCTGAAGATCATGTAGACGACTTTTATCGAGTTAGGTTGGTTCGTTTATATTAATATTTTATCAAAAGTTTCGATTTCATTTTTGACTGTGTGTGAATATTATTTATACTATACTGTACCAGAGACGAACAGCTAGGGATTACAGACCAGTGGAGGATCCAGGAATCTTGAAAGATGGGAGGGGCAGTTTGGTGTCGGGGAAGGGGCCCACAGCAACACCCCCCAAAAAAGAAAGATTTTATTAAATCGTGTATATTTTGGACACAAAGGGAGGGGGGATGCCGCGCCCCACTTGCCCCGTCTAAATCCACCAGTGCAGACTTAACCCTCTGGCTGCGACATCAGTGTACAGAAAATATAACGTCACTGCGAGATTAAAACGACATCACAATTTCGTTGACATTATTTTGCGTTTTTTTTTCTGATTTACGCTTAGTGGGCTTTAAAGACGGAGAAGCATGAATGGACATTTATTAATTTATTTGTTACATTGACAAACTAAGTGTAATTAGAAATTCTTTATTTCAATATTATGACCTTATTTTAATCATTATGTGATTTTTGTATATATTTCCAATAAATACCGATAATCAATTATGAAGAATGAATTCTGCATCAAAATCGGAAACAAATTCAAAGCAGCTAAATGATGCTTTACATTGTCGATGATATTTGTTAAATAATTAAATTAAAAATATTGTAATTTTCATAGATTTTGCTAGCATTCTTTTTTTCATCTTAATTCTCATTTGCAGTCAAACTTCTTAATGTACGGCCATGTGATTTCGCTCTATGTCCAGGACCAATTAACACAAAGTACACGTGGTTCTATTTACCGGCTGTTTTACTTTTGCAGCCCACACATATTTTATATTCCTAAATAAAGAAAAAGCAAACTAAATTTTTTCAAGAAAGCTTTTTAAAAAAAAAAAATCATAATTAATTTCATGTGAAACAACTTTGATCCATGACTTTGAAACTAACTTCTTAGAATTCTATAGAAGTTGAATAAATATTATATTTTTGGAGTTATAATGTTGATTTATAACGATTAAGCGCATGTTGACTGCTTTTTAAATAAATAAACCAATAAATAAGGAGGGGGTGTTGGAGATCTTCAGTGAAGCTGTTGGGTGTTATTGCTCAAATGTTTCTGTTAATTTAGCAAAAGATCTGATACTGATGTTTTAGCTTGGCGGAAGTAAAAAATCTATCTGCATGGTTCATTTTTTCGTAGTCCTCTTAATTTTAATGTGATTAACAGAAAGACAGAATATGAGAAAATATATTTGTAGTTTTACATGTAGGATTTCAGAGGTAGTTTTAATCAATATTATTCATTCTGTAATTCCATATTATATTGAAAAGATCGATTTCAGAGAAAGTATTATTTTTTCAGAGAACGAAAATTAATAAATTTGAGACATAACGTATTCAACTGCTTTATTATCTGACAGGACAAAATAAAATTCTGAAAGAAAGTTAATTTTAATAGGATTAATATCATTTTACGGAATTGCTATAATATCGGGGTCATATATTACCAACAATCTGTCGGAGAAACATGGGTATTCGCAATGACATATGGGATATTTTATAAAATAACAAGATTGTTTTAGATTTTTGTAAAGGAAAATTTGTTTGACATAAATTTTAACATACGTAAATAAAATCTATTTGTTCTTAACATGGGTATATAGTAAATTTCTTATTTAAACCACATTTTGTTTGAGAATTACAAATACATGTTGTATAATGAAAAACGTTCAATGGACAGAGATAAAACAGGATAAGTTAAAATCATATCACCAATAATCTTGGTATTTGTTTTAGTTTTGTTGTAAGTAAAAGATCATTTTCTGGGTTTGTACAGAACATATAAGCTTAAATTTAAACAATAAATAAATGTATTTAACACTTTTTACGAAGGTTTATGAATATCTGGATTTATTTGGGGGGGGATTACCAATGAAGACATTCGCCAAAAAAATTTTTTTCAAAAGTGGCATATATTTCAATGCAAAATGATTTTGTAGATGTACCATGTACAAAATTTGTGTAGTCCTGGTTAGCTCCTTTGTTTATTCAATGTACATGTGTTAAGTCCCTTTGTTTACTTAATGCATAGGTGTAAACTGAAACCTACATGTAGGAAATCACGTCTCGCTTGAACGAACAGAGCTGACTTACTATAGGTAACTAGCCTGGAGCAATAAAGGGTTACAAAATTGCTTGAAATGATATTATTTGGATTAAACAAAGGGGGATAAAGTGTTATTAGGAGATGAAGTTAGTAAATAAAAGATTTTTATCAACAAAATCATCTATGACGTTTTTTTTTAACCAATTTATTATCAAATTTAAAGAATGGCTTCAAATTTTACCTACTGAAGATTGAAAAATGTGTACATTATTATTCTATTAACTTACAAAGAGTGAAAAAGAAATTGGTTTGGAAACAGAATTATCTTTAGTTAGTTAACTACACTGAATTATTTACAATAACATGAGCTTGCATATTAAACCATGGAGTCTCAAGTTGTTAAAATAAAGTCAAGTTTCAAACCTAATTTTCATTACTTTTTAATTTACTTCTTTTCACACTTAATTAATGAACTGATGAAAATTTTCATTTTTAGAAAATGTCATATTTTTACTAGGTCTGTACCCCTGCAATCACTTCCCAGGCGAAAAAAAATATAAACAAGAGGACATTTTCTGTCAGGAATTGGCTGATATCAATACAATATCAAATTAATTGTGTAATTCCAACATTATTTTTCTTTTTTTAAATGGGTGTGTACCATAAGCTTTAAACATTACAATTTTAAAACAATGTCTGTGTCAGATAAACATAATAAAAAAAATTGAATAACAAAAAGTGCATTGCATTGTCGAGAAATCAGATGTAAGTATGCCTTTCCTTAAAGCTTGTGTCGAGAAAAGTGGCGAAAAATATTTTCGGTCCAGTGGGAGCCCTGGGGGGGGGGGGGGGGGCTTACCAATGAAGACATTAAAAAAAATCTTTTCAGCATATATTTCAATGCAAGATGATGTAGAGTATATTGAAATATGGGCAAAATATGCGTGCAAATAATGTGTTAATCTTTTTCCTATAAACTACACTTGTGACTAAAATTAAAGAATAAACGTCAAATCATAAGACGCCTAAATTTAGAACACGTGAGGACCATCATCCACGACTATTTATCCAATTTATTATCAAATACAGACCCCACCCCACCCCTTCACACATCTCTAAGTATTTGTTGAGTGTATTTTTAACCTACATACGTTTTTTGTGAAATACAAATGTGTTAATTGATTTTCCTGACATCAGAAGAGCAAGAAGATTTTAAAAAATTGTAATTACATGAACACATACATTATTTCACACATTCATATGAGGTTTTTATTTTATTTATTTCAAAAATAAAATTTCGCTCCACTTTTTTTCATGGAATCGTGACTGTTTTTTGTGGGAAAATGAATTTTTAAGATTTTAAAAGGGTATAGGGATTAAGGATATTTTTTAATCTTTTAAGGTTACATGTATGCAAATTGAGCTTTCAGTCCATAATCTTCAGAAAGAGAATTTTAGCATCTTTTTAGGCTCTGCAAAAACAAACATTTCTATGCGAATAAAAGTCAATAAAATTGCAGAATTACTCCAAAACAGTTTTTGAGAAAATATGATGTTGCATTTTAAAAAGCATGGAATTATTGGGAATAATCGGAACAATCCAGTTTGTGATTGTCGATTGCCTTTTACCCTGCAGAATTGATCTGATATTAAGGAAGAATTCAGCACTTAATTAATTTTACTAATTTTTTACGTTAGCCAGTGTTTAAGTAACTGTGTGCTTGATGCCCAAGACCGGATGTATAGATGTATACTTTGATAAAAATTAAATACATGCAATTTTGTCTTTTCTAGAAGCTGTTAATTCTACTCATCATTGGAGGATAGAAAAGAAAAGAAAACCAGGATGACAAAGAACAGGAGAAGAAGCAAAGCTCCTACACAAAGTAATCCATCACCAACTGACACAAGTTCTGCTCCCCATGAATCGGGGCATTCAGGAAAGAAGGTGGAGAACGTTCTCAACATGTCTCCCATTTCTTTGTGTCAGTCGGTCCTTAGACAGCAGTTGACAAGAGGACTGCCCACTCAAAGGTATACCAGCAGTGAAAGTCAGCCCATTAAAGGATTTCAGCAAGAACAAAGGTCAGTATCTACAATTACCACAATTTAGGATCAGGTTTTGTGTGTTGAATTTTAGAGCTGTGTAATATTAGGACTACTTTAAAAGCAGAAATATTCATGGGGGATTAAAATTCGATGTTAACAAATATCAACGAATATAAATCACACACAAAAATAATATTCTATATGACTATCAATTGAATAGGTGACTTTAAAAACAACGAAATAAGATGCCCACGAAAATATTTTTGAGGACAAATCAACAAAATTATATCACCACATAAATTTCTGCTTCTACGGTATTCCAGTAAAAATTATCTGAAAGGAGGGACAGCACCACATTTTAGACACCCATATTCTTGGATTTCCTTTTTAATTATACCTGGAGACAGCAGTTAGTAGAACTGATTTGCTCCTATTCATGACTTTTACCCCAGTAAAAACATAGAGTACTCTGTCTTGCATATATACCAACATGTAAAGAACATTTTGACAAATAGTTGGGGAAAAAACTGCATAAATTTTCAAAATGTCCTTTGACTTTCAAAGTATTTTTGTTGTTCTTTAATCCATTTAAGACAACTTTTGGATCTTCTGAAAAGAACAGCCACATCAGGAGAAAGTAACTCTGTATTGGTGATAGGTCCCAGGGGGAGTGGGAAAACAACAGTAAGTATTTTAACATTGTGTAAAACTAACCTTTTCTAAGTTAATACAGATAAATAGTCAAAAATAACTTTCAATTCTATAAAACTGACAAATTTCCTATTTTTGTATTTTATATTATTTAAAAAATATTAATAATTATGTATTTCAACATTTTTTGGTTTTACCTAATAACTTTTTTTATGGTTGACCAATTAAGTTCAAATTTGGTATGGTAGTTCAGTAGGCAGAAAGACATTTTTGATGCTAAGTTTGTTTTTATGTTCTGGTTTCAATGCTGGGGTGATTAAGAGTGTCATTCCTTAACTTTATATAAGAATGAATTGGCAAAGAGAGATAACTGCTACAAGTGCATCTAAATGGTATGTGAGTGATGTTGGCTATAGGAATGTAGCTTTCCTCAATGGAGAAAATCCAAAGCATTTTCAAAATCTGTCACATTGAGATGAATTAGCACCTCTGTTTGCAAATGAAATTTTTAGTCAATTTGGAATATTGAAAACTCTGAAATATGGAGTTAAGTATAAATGTTTATACTTTATTTTTGTTAAAATATCCTACACAATGAGGGCTCTCACACCATTTTTGGAAATATTTGCTTTATGTAAATTCAAGAATATTATTATCAATTTTTGAGGTACCTTGATAAATTATTCTATCATTAATGAAAAAGTTGGATAACACAAATTTAAATGAAAATGAAAAAATCCTCAAATTTTCCCTTGGGATTTTATCATCAGATTAGCCTGTTTGAAGAAAATTTAAAAGGCAATCATGCTGTACATAAGATTAATGAAAACCTTTTTGTCATTACTGTTTGTTTTGAATTGCGGTTATATGTCTTCATGCGTGACAGTCATTAGGAACATATAGAATTTCCTCGATCACATGGGCAACTTTCTTACCAATACAGCACCTTATAACATGCCGAAGCGCGGGTATGTTTCTAGGTGCAGCTTACTAATGTTTAAAAAATATTAATAATTTTGTAAACCAAATTTGCTGGTTTTTGCTCAGCAGATTTATAACAAGATACTCTGCACTCATAGTTGTATACATTTCTTGTAATTGTAGTTTTATGTTCATTTCAATGCAGGTGATTAAGAGTGTCATTTGGCGCGAACTAATGCTAAATGACCAGTTTCACTTTCATTTGCAAATGTGTTTTGTTTGTGGGTTTTTTTTGCGATTAGGTTTGATGGACTTTTATTTTTTAATTAATATTTTACTCTCACAACGGGAAATTTACACCTTTTTTATACTTAATATTAAAGTCACTTACCTAATATTTGGTCAGATTTCCCTTCATACGGATTACTTCTTTAATCCAATCTGGAATGGATGCATAGAGGCTGTGGATGTATTCCAAGGGGATGTTTTCCCACACTTGTCTAATTGCCTCAAACTGCTGATCGCGACTTTCAATAGTTGCGGACATGCCTTTAGCTCTCTTTTGATCTTTAACCAAATGTTTTCAATCACATTTAAATCTGGAGACTGAGCTGGCCAATCTGTGCAGTTAACATTTTTTTCGGTCATATAGTTTTTCACTATGAGAGCCCTATCGTCTTGGAAAACATAGTCTTTGTTCGGAAAATGATGGCAATTACAGGCCATAAATTATTATCAACTATTTCTAAGTATTTGAGTGCATTTATATTACCTTAGACAGGTACAATAGTTCCCATACCATCAAAACACATGCATCCCCAGATCATAAGTGTTATCCTCCTTTTCGATGGCAGACAAATCAAATGGGGACTGTTCGCTTTGGCGTCCTTTCTCCATACATACACACGGTTATCTGTCCCAATAACAATCTGACTTTCATCAGAAAATATATATTTTTTCAATTCATTATTACTTTTCCAGTGTTTTCGTTCTTGACACCATTTTGCCCACTTTTTTCTGTTCACACATCAAACCACAATAGTCTTCCTTGCACGTTTCCTTTTGTACCCTTTTTCACGTAATTTTCTAAATACTGTTTTTTCACTAAATTGTCTTCCTCTTCCTTCGTTCAGTTTGTTTGTTAAATCTGTCAAAATGTCCTATCTGTTTGCCTGAGCGAGAGGACTCAACTTCTTCTTGTCTTGAGTTGTAAACAAAAGTTGATGGCCAGATCTCTACAAGTTTTCTACAGTACCCAGTCTGTCAAATATATTCAAAATACTCACGATTGTTGACCTTTGTATACCAACATTCTCGCCAATTCTGCTTTATTTGGAGTGTGGTTTGCAGATTTTACGATCATTTCTTTTACCTTAGTGCTCAACTCAACTGATTTTTGTCCCATGTTTTCAAGTGATGTTTTCCAGTGTTACAGACACACAAGTGACAAAATGATGTCACAAATTCGTGACGTAATTTCTCCAGTCTCTTTATTGAAAGTTTCATTCTATTTCGTTAGTTCTATAAATAGCGTGAGTGAAAAATAACCGAGAGATGCATCGCGATTAACGCAACGCCAATCAAAATGACAAATACTTTTGTATTGACTGTATGTATATATATCCAAGAAGCTCAAAGCATGCAGAATCACTAATTTTGTAGATTGGGGTTTTACATCTTCAGGTGTGAAAAGTACGTGTGTTTCATTTGTAACGTTGATTACAAATGGTGATGAAGTTCAAACAACCATTGGAACAATGCAAATTTGGGAGCAGAGCAAACAAGGACCTTTTGATTCTTGAACATCAAACATTGTACAGAGGAACATGGCAGTGGAGCCTTATAGCCACAAGCCTCTTGCGATAAATTCCTTGCTTAAATAATTTCATTACACGAATCATCGGGATGTAGAAGATGCAAGAGAAAAGAGAAAGAAGCAGGAAAAAATAATTTTGATTTGGCCCAAAAAAATTAATTAATTGTTTCTCAGGCCAAAAAAATCTAAATTCAATGCGGCAGGCATAGCAGCAGGTTTTACACCTTTTTTAAAGCCATTTGCTCAATAAAATGATAATATCTACTAATTCTTAATTTTTTGTCTCTGAAATTAGTTATAATATGTATTCAACTTTAAATAATGTTATTCCAAACATTTATTAAAAAGTTGATTCATAAAATACTGTAAATTTAGAAGAAATTTATTGTTTTTCTAATAAAAACGTCTATCTTGGTATTTATGAAAAGGGGAATAACTCGATTTTCTTTTTAAACTTTGAAAAATAGAAAATTGAGTTACTTCCCTTTTCAATATGTCAATAAAATAATTTGATGCGGCGGTGCCTGAGAAACTATTGATTAATTTTTTTTGGCCTTTCTTGACTAGATGTTGAAGCATTGTTGATCAAAAGTTGCTAGTTTTGAAATTTTATCTTTTTAAAAAAAAAAAAATCCTGCATCTGTATTTCATGAGATAAAAAGGGGGAAAAAAATGCCTCCCTCCCGCATTTATTTTGAGAAAACTGCATGGCTTGAGAACCAACTTAATAATTTTTTTGGCCTTAGTTTAAACTTGAAAAAATGAATTTCACTCCTTAGAATAATGTTTTGTTATGAAAGATGCTGTTTGTTGTCATAAAATGTTTTAAACTGATGAAAGCACAGAGTCTGCTTGTTTTTGATTACCGGTATAGATTTATTTGTTGTAGGATTACTACAGACCGATGACAGGATTGCCTTAACAGAGATCACCAGACAATTAAAGCTAGAGAATACAATCGGGGATAAAGTATTTGTAAGTTAGTGTTCATAATCCTAGTTTCCTTAAAAAAAATTCAGGCTACATTTACAAATTAAAATAGATCACTGAGCATGCAATTTGAGATTTTAGTTTTTCATTCAGATCAAAAAGATTTTTTTTAGTGTGCCACCTCATTGAGATAGAGTTTATTTTTGTAGTTCATTTTGACTCTGAAAAGCCAGTTTTTTTGCACATTTATGCAGTTCATGCAATTGCAACATCTCAAATAATAGATGAATGCAGTAATATTCCATCATCATTCATTTAAGAATTGCATATACCGTATAAGTAGAATTTTTAGCGAGGATTTAATTTTGGCATTATTAGTGAGGGTGCCGAGATCGCTAAAATTGAATATCGCTAAAAATTAATTGTGCTTTATTTGTAATCGCTTCTTTAATATGCATTTTAAAATCACTAAAATAACATCTCGCTAAAAATAAATTACCAGTTTTTAACGGCAAATCGCTAAATTTGCGTCTCGCTAAAATTTCCACTTAAACGGTATATAGTTTGGTAATGAAATTTTTTTTCTCAAATTTCCTTTGTTCACATTCTTTACTATTTACAGGGATCATTTTCAGAAACACTCCAGTTTTTATTAGAGGCATTGAAGAGTGGCAAGTACAATTTTTGATAGATTTGACTATAAAATGCAGTAATTTTTAAATGAAAGAAAAAATATTTCTGAAAACAGAAAATAATGTTTAATATGAACTTTTGAAAAGAATACAAATATGAAATATCTATTTTCGACAAAAAGCAAAAGTCTTTAGATCATCAACACATATAAACAGTTTTAAAAAATGAATATACTGTAAATCTGGAAATTTTTACCTCGATTTATTTTTGTTTATTTGGGTCAAAAAGCTGTTGAATAATTTTTACGATTCAAAATTTTGCGAATTGTCACTGATTTTCATATCAGTTTATGTTTCAATTAGTATGCACAGTTAGAATACCAACAACATACTCGCTATATGACAAGAAATTGCAGAATCGCTCTGAAACAATTTTGAAGGAAAAAAATACAAAAGGATTTGCACTGACCTCAGTGAAATGACTTCTAAATTAATTATAACAAACCCTTTAGAGGCTGTGTATGCCTTTTAACCTAAAATATAATCCAAATAAAGACAAAAATTTAACTAATTTTCTCCACATTTCGTTTTTTTCTCACCTAAAATTTATACGCCTAGTTTACAATTGGAACTCTCTAGTAAATGCACTGAGTTCGAGTTATCGCCCGTGTTGATACATGGTTAGATAAAATAACTGGTCTCTCTTTCTTGGCAAAATAATTAAAAAGGGACACACCGTCTCAGTGCTTGTCAAACCATCGGACGATATTGCATATAATGAGGGCAATTTACACGCACGGGTAATTAGCTTCTAGTTACAGTCGTATAAACGGATTTCATTTTAAAAATGACCAGTGCTTACTGATGCCTATTCACTAAGTGAAAAATAGACACCGACCTTCAGAAAACAATTCTTTACAAGTTGATTTATTTTTAAGTAGAATATTTTTTGGGAATGCAAAGCAAGCGCAAATTTGCTAGAAATTTATCTACAGTAAAAATTTCCAGATTTACCGTATATATACAGAAATGATGTCTTTATTTCATCATTATTTTGTTGTTTGAATGATTCTTTGATATTGACCCTCGGTATCCTTCAGGTGACCAGAGCAGTAAGCCGATCCTGTTTATCCTGGATGAGTTTGATCTGTTTGCCCATCACAAGAACCAGACTTTACTGTATAACTTGTTTGATGTGGCTCAGTCGGCCCAGGCTCCCATCTGTGTCGTAGGAGTGACCTGTCGCCTGGTGAATATATTTTGATTTTGTATACTTATAAAATTGTAAAACTGGAATTTCCTATGAATAAAAATTAATAGAGTTGTCTCTCTTTGCTTTTTTTCTCTGATTGAAGTTGATAAACCTATTAGAGTTGTCTCTCTTTGCCCTTTTGTCATATTTAATTGAAAGCTATCAGAGTTGTCTCTCTTAGCCCATTTCAATTAATGAACTATCTTGCAGGATGTTATTGAGCTCTTAGAGAAGAGAGTGAAGTCCAGATTTTCACATCGTCAGATTCATCTCTTTAACAGTCAGACAATCCAAGATTACATTGATATATTTAAAAATCTATTGCAACTGGATGCACAGTTTCCTGATCAGAAGTTTGCTAATAAATGGAATCAACATGTTGAGGTTAGTTTGTGTATCATGTCATAGACAAGTAATTATAAACATTAAGCACTTTAACTGAAGTGTTACCATTTATAAATGAAATTGCTTGAGATTAATATGGATTGAATTCTTTTATAGCTTAGTAAAAAATCATGACATTGACAAATAAAAATTGGAAAATTAAGTACTTTAATTGAATTTATAATTAATAAATTCAATTTATAAAAGTCAATATGGATTGGATTCTTTTTATGCCAAACAAATGCTATTCTTTTTATCTGGTCTAATTTTTTTTTTTATAAATGACAAGGTAGAATGTATTGCATTGTTTTTGTATTGCAGCAACTTTCCAAGGATCCCACTGTGGTTGATTTACTAAAACAGCAATTTGAGTATACAAAAGATGTGAGAGCCCTACAACAACTTCTTGTAAGATGTATTTCAAATTCTTGTCAATAATTTTTAAGGGAAAATGTTAATGTTGTTTTATCATATTTGCATAATAGGCATGTACATATTTAATCTGTATTTGAGTCATGTTTTAATTTTCAGATAAAGTATTGTAAGAAACCAAATAAGCAGCAAAACTGAAATATTCAATCTTTACATGTAGCTCTCATGTGTGAGCTGAAATCAGTTAGGTCAGCTTTTGTTGGAAAATCAGATGTTAATATGTTTATGTTACAAAGTTACAATTGATATAACTGGAGATCTTTTGAAAATGACATGTCTCTACCAAATGCTTCTTATTTCATAGATGTATCCAGTATGTCATTTGAGTGACACTTCTCCAACTTTATCAGTCAGTGATTTTGTGGAATCCAGAAAACTGCTAACCACAGATTCAAAGTCGGCTATGTTGCACGGTATCATAATTCCATTCATTCCCTCCAACGAAATAAAAAAAGAAAATGACTTGATGTATTTTGTCATATTATCTTGTGTTGTCTATGAAATTTGATATTTTGTTCGTCGTTACGGAGTTTATCATTAAAATATCATGGTGTTGTAGAAAAAAAAAATAAAGAGATAATCTTCAAGTCTTTAAAATGCCAATTAGCTGTAGGGTTTATCTTGTAGGCGTGTCTATACTGGAGCTGTGTCTGATCATTGCTATGAAACATCTGACTGAAATATATGAAGGGGAACCATTTAACTTTGAAATGGTTTATAGTGGTGAGTTTTGGGTGCAAAAAAGTTACTCTTGCATAAAGAAATAAAAAAAGTTTTAGTAGATTGAACACAATTTTTAATATGGAGTTTATTAAAAGTTTTGTATTGCAAATATTGCATTTTTGTAATGTATGTCCTACAAACATGCATTTTTTTTCTTTGTAGAGTATTCAAAATTTGCTCAGAGGAAATCTTCAATGCAGGTGTTTGAAAAAGCAGTTGTTTTAAAGGTAATGGCTCAAGAAAAGATAATTATGGTTTGAGGAATCGAAATGGAATAATCAGACAAAAAAAAAAATAAAATCAATATCAATTTTGAAATCTTAAGTGCCATTCTCTTAGTCCAATGGGCATAAATTTTAACCAAACTTGGTTCAAAGCATTCTTGGGTGAAGGGAATTTTAAATTGTAAAAATGAAGGGCTGGGTCCCCTTACAAGGGGAGATAATCAAGAAAAAACAAAAATAGGGTGGGGTCACAAAAAAATCTTCTTCTCAAGAACCACTGGACCAGGAAAGCTGAAACTTATGTGGAAGCATCCTTGGGTAGTGTAGATGTTCAATTGTTAAAATCATGACCCCGGGGGGTAGGGCGGGGCCACAATAGGGAATCCAAGTTTTACATAGAAATATATAGAACAAATCTTTAAAAATCTTCTTGATGTGAACCACTGGGCCAGGAAATATTAAAACTTTTATGTGGAAGCATAATTTTAGTTAGATATTAAATTGTAAAAATCAAAACACCCCGGGGGTAGGGCGGGGCCACAATAGGGAATCCAAGTTTTACATAGAAATATATAGCAACAAATCTTTAAAAATCTTCTTCTCAAGAACCACTGGGCCAGGAACTGCTGTTTAAACTTATGTGGAAGCATCCTTGGGTAGACAATATATTGTGTGTTTAAATTGTTAATATCATGATTTTCTGGATTATATATAGTATTAATATTTTTCATTTATAGGGAATCCAAGTTTTACATAGAAATATATAAAACAAATCTTTAAAAATCTTCAATCAAGAACCACTGGGCCAGGAAAGTTGAAATTTATATGGAAGCATAAGATTTGGGTAGTGTAATATGTAAATGCTATTAAAATATATAACCCCCGGGGGTAGAGAAAATAATAACCACAATAAGGAATCCAAGTTTTACATAGAAATATATAGAACAAAATCTTTAAAAATCTTCTTCTCAAGAACCACTGGGCCAGGAAAGCTGAAACTTATGTGGAAGCATCCATGGGTAATGTAGATTCTAAAGTATTAAAATAAAAAAGCCAATTTTTAAAGCATGATAGGTATAGCATAGAGGGCAACCTCTGAGCTAAAATATCACCCAATTACTCAGGTGAAATGATGGGCCTCTTGTTTTCTTTGTAGAATATTCAAAATTTGCTCAGAGGAAATCTTCAATGCAGGTGTTTGAAAAAGCAGTAGTCTTAAAGGTAACTGCTCAAGAAAAGATAGTTTTGGATTGAGGAATAGAAATTGAATAATCTGACAAAAAATAGCTGAATAAAATCAAAATCGATTTAAAAATCTTGAGTACCATTGTCTGACTTCTGGTAGTCTTATAGTGTCATAAATTGATACTTATCAATATTAGTTGAAACATTTACATTTGAATATATTTGTATACTGCTCCAATCAATTCAATCTCGATAATCTAGTCCTTTCCAAGAATGGTTTCTTTACTTATTTGTTTTATGAATACGTTTTGTTCTAGGCCTTTGAGCACTTGATCCACTTGGAGTTGGTGAAGACAGTGGATGGGGCAGGAAGTCGTGTACAGAAGGAGTACAGACTGATGCAGATGTTAATTCACGCAACACAGATCATGGAGGCACTGCAGAAGTACCCCCAGTGTCCCACCGACGTCAGGCAGTGGGCAGCCTCCTCTCTAGCAACATGACAACCAGACCGAGGACTTGTACTGGGTGAGGGAATTTTGTTATATGTCAATAAGGACCCAGAAAAGATATGATATTAATGCATGTTATGTCGTCTTAGTACTGTTAAATTTTCTTCCAAAGGAGGTTTTCATTAAAACTTTCAAGGAAAGAAACTGCACTGTTTTGATGAGGAGAAAAAGATCATGTGGTCATTTGTATGGGATTTATTCAATGTTACATGAAGCTGGAATTTTAAATTTCACAACCAAATCTTTGTTTTGAAAGAATTTTTGAAAAAACACTGTAAAAAATTAATCATCATATTAATTTTTGTCTTTTTTTACCTTTAAATCATGTTAACTGTAATGCATCACATATTAATGAATTTGCATTATATATATCAAAATACAATCTCTTAGAGATTTATTATATTCCGTAATAATTTGGTTTTATTGCAGAGCAATGCAGGCACAGTTTCATCCTTCAGTTAATGGTGTTAAGTGCAAACGAGGGATTCGACAAAAATCTGTCTCTGAATTATGAACATGTTGGTAAAAAGAGAAAGATTGAGAATGTTTGCATGTGTATTTAAATTTCTGTGAGGTTGTTGATTGGTGGATTAGTTATTTTATGATGGATGCTGTTCTGACTAACATAATTTCTGTTGATTTCTTGATTAAATATTAAAGTTCACATATTTGTTTTCATATATTTCTGTGGTAATGTGTTTTGATTTTTTTATGCAATTTTTAGCCGGGCTTTGCTGAAAGCAAAGTCCTGGTTCTAGGCATCATGATCGACTGTCTTACTATAAATAGCACAGTAAACAAAAAACCAAACAGCGTCAAAGCAGACGCTTCTGATAAACAAAATAGTTCCATTGTGAGACAATATTCAATTAATTAATCTGAAAGAGAAATTTGATATTTGCTTTATTGAGATAATCGTGATATAATAATTTGTACACATACGATGCTGAATGCATATTGTAAGCGAACTATTTTTGATAGCGCGGGCTTTTCAAAATGTTGAAATTGTGGAAGAGTTTCATGTTTCATATCATTTTCATCGATTTCATGATAGTGGTTATATTCTGTTTTGATTTTGAGCAAATTAATAGTATAGTGGATTGAAATTTTAAGAATTAACATGCGTGAAGGCACTTGACAATGCACATGTATCAGTGTTTCTACATGTAGTTGGCAATAAAAGTACTGTTTGTTTGAAACTGAAAGAATGTCTATACATGCATAATAAACATGTACATTATTTTAACTATTCCAAGACTGAGAAAATAATGCTTATTGAATAGAAAATATGTGAGAATTTCTTGGAAATATTATTTATTAAATTTTAAAATCATAATACATCTTGGGGTCTGGACTGTTAATTTTAATTACTGGTATATGGGATATTGTTTTGAATCATTATCATACAAACTCTACTTGTTAAAAATCAATGGTCAAAAAGAAAAAATTAAAAATGTTCTAATTTCGGATCAGACAATATACTCCAGCAATTAAAGCCCGGCTTTCAGTTCTTTCAATACTTTGATATTGTTTAGTTACTTATGAAACTGTTTTATAAAATGATATTTATGATCGAACAGTTTAAGGCTGGAAATAGCAGGAAAAGAGAAGCCAGTACTATAATATTTCTGGGTTTTAATCTTTGAAGACAACACAATAAAACTAATCTAAATTAAACTATATTGACAAGAAAATTCAAATCTTTAAAGAATTTTATTTTCTCATATTTTAATTACATGTATAAGTACATTTGAAGCAATGCAAAAGCATTTTTTTTTTATTTATAATCATATCATACATATACTTGAGAAAAATAAATACATGTACATTGAAGACCTCTGTATAACTCCAGTATCAAATATAAGTACTCGTTGATAAAATGCCAGATTGGAAGAAGTTACATATCGTTGTAATTTTTATTCCAGTTTCGATGTTTGAAAATAAACTTCTTGCATAGTTAACTGAAGCGATAACAATTGAAAAATTAACTTCATTATCTAAACTTAATGTAATCACTAATTGACTAATTTGTATCAATAATTAAAATAAAAAAATATTTTGATACAAATTAAAAAAAAAAACAACTATGAAAGTAATAACAAAGTAAAGGTTCTAAAAGCACAGTAAAATTGTATATAAACTCATTAAAATTGTGCAAAGTGTATAAAAAAATTATAATCACAAAAAGAGCACTAAATGCAGAAAACTTCAAAATGTGAAGAAAAAATGTAAAAATATACAATATATACAAAAAACCTTCTATATTGCAATACCCCCTGAACACATGGCACATATATCCGTTAAGGAAAGCATCATTTTTTTTCACCAAGTAAATGTATAAATAAAGAGAAAGCACTTGTCCTTTGAAGTTTTGGGTTTCAAAACATACAAGGTTGTTTCAATTGAATTTCTTTATGTTCCAAACTATAACTATTAGGAATGAATTTTGATCCATTTTATTGATATATCAGTAAGCAAGTTCTGCACCCCATGGGCGATATGGTTTTGAAGAGCTATTGAAATTATTTCCATTTTGAGACATCATGGGCATTGAGTTCAGAGACACTGCGAATTGGCTGGGAAGCTGTGGAATGGAGGATATTAAGGGGTCCTGTCCAGCAGAGTTCATGTTGGACATCTGAGAATGGGGTGGCATGTTGGAGGAGGACTGAATCCGCATATTCCCATGCAGTGTGGTAGAGGAAATGTCTGGTTGACTCACTCTTGTTTCACTGTATGATAATGAGGAAAGAGCCTGTGCAGAAGAATGGGGTCCCATAGGTAAGTCAGCTTGATTTGGTAATTGTGACGTAATCATTGAGCCCATTGGCGTCATAGCACTTGTCGGGTACTGGCTGTTTATCCCAGTGTGGGTAGGTAGGGGACTCCACGAGGAATGTTGAAATGAGGCTTTTGCTGCAGCCTCCCTCTGAGCAGAAAAACATTGAAGGTGGCTGAGCAACCTCATTCGCAGAGGGTCTTGCAAATCAAGTCCTTCTACCGCAACTAAGTATCTTGCAACTTCGGTAGCACACTCACGGAAACCAACTCCCCGATAGTCAATTGCCAGAGCTTGTGGGTCAGGATAGTTATAAGTGTTCAGCCCTGAAATATCACAGAATAAAAATGATTAAAGATGTGCATAACCCATGTCTAAATTTTACTGGATAGGTTATCAGTTATTACCAAGAGAATATGGTTATTTGATTTATTAAGTTTCCCCCTTATTTAACATGGTCATTGATAGTTTTCTCGTGTCGACCTCACTCACTTGGGCTTTGTTTCATCAAGATTTTTGCACATTAGCCACATATCGGCGTGAAAAATTGATATTGTTTCAGTGTTAATTTTATTAAATCATCATAGCAAGTTACTGCAGATAGGTCGTACGTCGGGCATCACAAGAGACAAAGGCCAAATGTCCCGTTTACTTTTCTGTTGACATCTTAATCTCTGTCAACGAAACACTGATGACGCTCTTAACAAATTAGATACCGCCTTCAACAATTTTCTGTGGGAGATTATAATGATATTTAATACTTTGGGTTGCTTTTGATCACAATATACAAGATAAATGCCATGCCATTGAAAGTTAAATTTACCAGGGAAAGAACCACTTTAATTTTTTAGAAATGTGTAAAATAAGTTTGAAGGGTACAGAATTTTTAAGAGTATAGAAGAGACGTACCTTTTTGATGGAGAAGTTTTAGGTGGTCTACTGTCATCTGAAGTATTTCAGCTTTCTCCAGTTTAGCTGATCCCTGCTTTTCAAATGCAGTAGGAACAAGCCTCCTAAGTTCGGATAAACTGTTGTTGATGCGATCTCGCCGACGTTTTTCAATTACCTAAGAAGAAAAATTAAAATTTTAGATGTTTTTAAATTAATATTTCAAATTCAGTTTTAACTTTTATCATATATGTACGTTATTTAGTTTAAGCGATATATAAAATGTAAATTACAAAATAAATATCTTCATTATGAAACTCAATAGCTTATCCTAAGTATCACATTTTCTCTCGAAAACGAAAAATTGGAAGGATGCGCTAAATGCGTGTAAATAATCAGTTCATCTTTGAAGTAAATGATCGGTTCATCTTATTTTTTTGCAAGAGATTTTTGCATGACGTTTGCACCCTCTATTTTATTTCATTTCATATTTTCTAGAAACTTTAAAGACGTAAATTATATAATCATGTGCAGCTTTCCCACCTAGAGATTTCTTTGTCTCTTAAGTTCATTTTTGAAAAGAAAAAAATCGTACATACCCCACGTCTCTTTTTTCTATCCCCAATCTGACAACTTTGTGAAGGAGAACTGTAAGAAAAATTAAATAATCCATTATAGTTTTAGTCATATTTAGGAAGCGTTCTGCTAAAAGTCTAGATGACGACTTATGACTCCTTGATAAGTATATTCGGTTTTTATATCCATTGCTTTTTGGTGGGATGCTGTCGCACGTGTACACGTGCATTGGCACAAGTCCGCCGAAGTTGCAAGTTTCCAGTATATATTATAAACGCGCGTGTCTGTCAAATACACATCGATACTACTTACCTTGCTTTCAGGGCATCATCATAGCAATCTTCGGCTTCGCTGTCACTCAAACTTCGTTTCATTTTTTTCTTTCCAAACGGAAAAGGTGAATTTGTTAAAAGAAATAAATTGCGGATGTTGCTCCCTTCCTGAGCCACGTTCAGAGTAAAATTGACCTACGTTTCTCACGCACTCTAATGTATTAAAAAGTGTCTCAGGACGAAGCGCACACCTCCCGTTAATTGTTACCCGCGGTTGATTGACAGTTGGTCGCTTGTCCGACATGCGTAGATTGTTTGATACCGATTGTCACACGCGATGCGATTGGCCGACGGTCTTCACGCGCGCGCCAGATGCGCGGCCCGTGTCATGCATATTGTGCTGAATATACACATGGCAGGCGCCTGACATCGAAGTAAACGGCTACTGTGCACGTGTTTTTACCAATTTAAAGTCAAGGAGTATTAATGGTATATAAATTTACACTACATTAATAAGTTTTCCATTAAATTTAAGTACTTTGTCATATATTTTAATGAAAATATTAACCAGAACAACAAGTAGTACTATTTGTTTACATTATCGTTCAACTGAAATGTACTTGATCAGGTATATGTGCAGGTGAATGTAAATTGGAACCGCACGGCTTGCACGAGTAGATCGTGGGAAAGCCCAATATTTTCGTCTTCCATCATTGGAATTAGGAACTGTTCTCTGTTTATTTGCAGAATTCTTGCACTGCACAATGCCAGCGCACTGCGACTCCCGTGTGAATTTCATTTTATCTACAGTTGAAAGAATGAAATAGTTTGAAAAGATGTTAGTTAAAGAAATTGTTACAGTATTGTGAATAGTTTACTTTTCATATATTGTTTTTTTTTTCTTTAAAATCTTTTTACAGTGTAATGTTGCTTGTACTTTCATACAAAAGAGTAAATTTGCACCTACATGTGATCTTCAGCAATTGACACTATTTTCGTCCATCCAAAGACCTAAGGTATACCGGTATGTATTGTAAGTTGTACAAGTGTTATAGATCAAAGAAAAACATCATGAATATATCACATTTTGTATTGGTAACATAAGACCTACCGATAAACTGGGTGGCGAGCGCGATTAAATGCCGTATTGTGTAACAATCAATTCATAAAGTTTCCCAAGGGTCATTTTATCTACTCAGATACAAACGGAATTCGTTATGAGAGAAAATTAGATTAAAGAAGGGGATTTTGATAACAGTTGAGTTGCTTTGCTTTGTAGAAGTCTTACAGGTGGGTAGACAACTTGCAGATTAAAAACAAAATTGTTTCGGAAGATCTTACATATATCTTGAAAATCTAGGGCCATAAACATAAAGTATAAAAACCATTTTGTGTCATGTCGTGCTCTTAAAGTTTGAATTAAAAAAAAACATCAAATCTTGTATAAAAATAGTGATTTTGAAACTTGGTATACATGTACTTTACTGATTAAGCTTGTACAGATACATATATGTGTACAAAATAAGAAAGAATCACTTAAGTTGTTATGTAAAACTGTTAAATTTTGACTTAGAAGAAGGATGTCGGAAGTTTATATAACGGGGAAGGACACATTAATCATTTAAAATTTTAGGGATATTTATTTTGACTTCTTATTTCATGAAATTAAATTTTTGAACAAGACTACACATGCTAAAGTAATTGCGAATGATATTTAAGATGTAAAGTATATCAGAGAGGACATTATTTTGTACAATATAAGCAAGTTTTTAATGCTATGAATTGAAAATTGTTTCCTTTTCACAATAGTTAAAATGTTGCCCAAAAACAGAAAAGGAACACAATTTGCATGTGAAACTTGCATCTGAAACTTTTTGACAAGTTTATTGCATAATGCATTTTGAAAAAGTTATGCAGCGCAGTTTATATGTTATTTGAAATATGATATATTATTTTTTATGTATTGTAAATTAATTTTTTTTTTTATGAAACTGTGCATTATGTATAAAAAAAAGTATTGACAACATCAAGTTTGGTATTATAAAAAAAAGTATGGCATTCCTAATCCACGTTTTCCTTTTTCACGCATTAAATGTACATGAATCAGCATAAGCAATAAAACGTAAAACCTAATCAATGTTTTTCTTGTTTAAAATGTTTCTTTTTCACATGTACTTGAAAAATTTTAAATCAGTTTATTCCAATGTAAAATTGTAAGTTAATTCATTAGACGTATTTACGGAATTACATATGATATTATCAAGTATATTGATCCAAAATTCCTTGGAAAAAGTTTTCGTATACATGTTTGTAGAAAGACTATTTTCATTAAGATCTATGATCTTATTACATGGATGAAATGTAGTTAAATTCATTTAATGTAATTTAGCAAGTGTATTTATTGAAAACTCTATGGAACACATTTTTGAAAATTTTTTTAGAGGGCTTTTTTTATTTACTGATAAGTTACTATGATTTTGATAAAATGTAATTTATTTTTATGTTTGATTTATATTGATGAAAACGAATTCTAGTCATTTATTCTTTGATTAAATTGTTCTATAATATCCCGGGTATGTGACCCAACAAGGTTTTTGGCACCTTTTTCCTTAAACAAAATCATTTTTATTATTATTATTATTTAATTTATTTATTTATTATTTTTATCATTATTTTTAGCATATTTTGGAATTAATGCATTCGATGTAAAGATGTATATTTTATTAAACAATTATTTAAAAAAAAACTTTTGATCATGATCATTTTATATTAAGATATATGATCATATGCTTGGATATTTATTAATATACTAATAGCTATCTAATTAGATTATATTTTTATTTTTAAGTAGATAATACATTATTAAAATTCACTTTAAAAAGAAAGTGACGAATAGTTAAGATTTTATTATTCTTATTTTCAAGTTGATTATTTTTAAATATCACTGTAAAAAAGAGAATGACGAATAGTAAAAGTACGTATTTTTGATGTAGCTTTTAACAGGATTCTTTAGAGTAAATTTCTTAATTTAACTGTATATTAATATTACTAAATAATGAAGAAGCTAAGGATATCGCCTGGGAATTTCACAATTTTGTACTTATTATTTATTTGCAAGTACTTTTGTTATGTATGCAATCTTATTTGATTTCTTAATTTAAGGAAGGTTCATATCCTAGACCTATTGCTGAACTACTCAATGTGCATCAGCTGCATTTTTTTTCTAGCGTCCACAAAAATATCCTAGACACCGTCATTAAAATGTCAAAACATCTTCACCTGTACCACTACTTTGACACGTACTAAATATTAATGTTGCATCGGAGCCAATTGAACTAAATTCTTTTAATTCATTAGAAAATATTGATTTTTTCCAATCATTAACTTCCCTGACACCTCTACCAATGCATGTCAGATGCATGCCAAAACGCGGCCTTGCATGAATTATAACGGTTGACACGCTCTGAATGACGAGGAAGCCCAACCCTCCCAATGTCTAAAAACCAATAAGTCACCTGGCCGTGTAAACAAGAGATCTGCAAGCTCTTATGCTTAGTGTAAATACCGGAAATAAACATTCTATCCGGTTAATAAAGTACTATATATTTTGTATGGTTCAGATGTATTTACTCGTCAAGATTTTTCACGTGCGTATATTTGTTTTTATTTTCTTTATGAGTGATTTCAAAATATTTTGTTCATATTAATATCACAAAAGAAATCGATATTTTGAGGGCCACGCGAACTCTTCGCTTCAGTTGGTCTTGCCACCGTGCACCTGGCATAAGTGACGTCACCTCATTGAGCGATAATGTGTCGAGTCGCGTGCCACTGTATTGGTAAGATGACAGTGGAGCAAGCCTGACACTTAAACGACAAAGATTTAATAGGATGGTTAGTAAGCAAAAGGTAAATTTCAGGCTTGACATTGTGAAGGAAAATTTTGACATTGATACAACAGATTGATATTTTTTGGACAGATGTGCATCACTGACACCTCGGACATCAAGTGTTTAATATTTGAAAAGTTGAACGATAGAATTAAAATAAAACCGACATGTGTCAAAATTTGCTGCTAATTTCTACGCATTTAGGCCTGGACATTTTTAATGAGAATTATAAACATTGAAAACAAACAAAAAAAACAAATTCGTATCTTAACCTTTTAAATAAAAGGCACGTATACTGCAGGTTGGAAAAATTTCGAAAGATCTGCGTCTAAAGCAGTGGCCCGTCCATCCGAAGGGTATTAATAAGATTGGAGGCTCATACGGAATCTCCACATCGTATCAAGTTTGCTACGCGCAGCAACTAATAGATGTTCATAAAAAAACCCATTGAACTAAATAAAAAAATGTTTTCCTCTATCGCCAATCTTTTAATGTTCAAACATTCTTATGCTCCATCATGGTTGTGACTGTTGCACTCTTCAGATATGTAATTTGCGTTTATGTACATGAAAAGAGAATTCTTGCTGTGGCCTTCAACTCGACGTTTAGAGGTATCAATGGCGTAAAATAAATTATCTATTAGTATCTTACATTCACATGTCGACTCTATGTAATTATCCCCATGAACTTGAAATGTAAAGATTAAAAATGTCATAGATTTTGACATATCTGTTTATTTGGATGATTTCTAACTGCAGACGATATAGTACAACTAATTTATAGGATTCATAAATATTAAAGATACTTTTCAATGACAACTTTCTTTATTTATGTAATAATATTTCGCTTTTCCATGCACATAGTATTTAAATCTCCCAAAGTATTTGACAATCAAGAACAGGATATTACAAATAAGTTGATGTTTCAGGGATATCAACCACGTTTAAAGTAAGCAATTCGTAAATTTTAGGGATGTGCGATTTAATCGGTATATCGGTTTATCGCGATTTTTTGTTGTGTGATACGTACATACTATGAAGTCCAGAAATTATTCATTTATGTGTTCAATCTTTCAAATTACAATTACAGAAAGTATAAAAAATGCTGTAAAAAGTGAAAAGAACGCCATCTTATCGTCCAAACATAATTGATTTTATATAGTATATATAAAAATTTCAAGAAAGTAAAATTTTGTTTTTCTAGCATACATTTTTTTTTTAGAAAAATTATGAATTTTCATATAAAATCATTGTAAATACTGCTTTTGAAAATATGATATTATCGTGATATTGTGCGAAAAAATCGTGATATATCGCGATACGAAATTTTTGGCGATACCCATCCCTAGTAAATTTTATATTTATTATAGTGACCTTGTTAGCAAATATATATAACCTATCATTGGTTCGAATTTTGGCTGACATATATTATACTATTTGTTAGGCCATTATTCTAAACTGATTTCAACTTTGAAATGTCCCCTTCAACTGATCAACATGTAGGGTTTAGGGCGGCTGGGACCGATCATGAGGTGATACTTGATCCCATAATTTCCGCGAGTCTGTATTACAGAATATTGTATTGTTAATATTATATTT